GTTTGTCGACCAAATTGGCGATATACTAAAAATGGGCCAAATTAAGAGTACCCTTAACCGACGAGCAAGTATGCGTAGGTATATGGATGTGGAAGAGGTGAGAGAGGTGTGTCAGGATCGTGCTAAATGGAAGTCTGTAGTCTCTGCCTACCCCTCTGGGTGACAGGCGTGAGTGTTTATGAGTTTATGAGAGCTCAACTTCTGATATTCATACGAGGTGTTACTCAAGATTTTGAAGTCTTAGAAGAGTTATTAGGAATGTGTTCATTGAAAGGTCAAACCAGAGGAGTTGATATACACAATGTACTTTTGGATGAGTGTTCAAAAACTGATTTAGACTTATCAAAATTATCGGGAGTTGCGACTGACGGTGTTCCTTCGATGATTGGTGTCAATTCTGGGCTAGTTACTTTGCTAAAAAGCATCTGCAAGAAAAAAACATAAACGCTGAAGATCTTATGCAGTTTCACTGCATTATACTCCAAGAAGCCCTCTGTTCTAAAAAAATTGAATTTCAAAATGTCATGAAAGTGGTAGTTTCGACTGTAAATTTCATAAAATCACGAGGACTGAATCACAGGCAATTCAAACAATTCCTTGAAGATTCCATCGAAAGCGAATATTGAGATTTACTGTATTATACAGAAGTAAGGTGGCTAAGTCGTGGATTGACACTGGAACGTTTTCTAAATTTAATAGAAGAAATCGGAATATTTCTGGCGGAAAAGCAAAGGGATATCCCGGAATTTAAAAATCCTGATTGATTGTGTGATTTGGCTTTTTTAGTTGATATTACAAATCATTTGAATGTCTTGAACACACGGCTTCAAGGCAAAAATCAACTGATATCCCAGCTCTACGCTCATGTATCATCCTTTCAATGCAAGCTGACACTTTTCAAATCGCAATTAAATTCTGGAAATTACAATAATTTTCCGAATTATAAGAAAATGGCTGAAAAATTCAACAAAACTGCGATTAATTTCAGTTATGTAGAAAAGCTAGATATTTTGATTCAATCTTTTCAAAAAAGTGAAACCTCTGTTGGACATATTCAGCAATTCTTTCACGATTTCAGTTGAAAATGCGCCAGAGTCAATGCAGTTAGAAATTATCGACATTCAAAACTACCAAGATTTACGCAACAAATTCAACGAAGGAGACTTGCTGAACTTTTACCGCTGCATTGATAAAAATACGTACAAAGAGTTGCGCATAAACGCTCTGAAATGTGCCAGCTTATTTGGTTCTACCTATATATGTGAACAAACCTTTTCAATACTAAATAATAATGATAAAAAAATCGAAACCGAACGAAAACGAAAGTTTGGAAGCAGTTTTACGTGATGCTACAAGTAAATTTGAGCCAAATATAAAAAAGATTGTAAGCACTATGCAGTGCCACGCTTCAAATGAATAAATTCTTTTTCAATTTTAATACATTATTATCAATTCTTTATTGTCTTTAGTTACCTCTACTCCTGGCGCCCGCCATCAGTTCATAATTTGCCCGAGTGGCCCCTAGTCTTAATAAGTCTGTGGATCACTGCACTAGACCAACGAGGCAGTCGTTGTTTGATGCTGGCATCATCATAAAGAGCAAATATCAATGAACTTGGTCAAAGATCAATGTGGTGCATAAATGTGAGTAGTAGTGTGGAGATCACCAAGCTTATAGAGAGATAACGTCATATTGACTATTTTCTTAAACAAATAATGACGAATGTATTCTATTGTGTCAACATAAATATAAAAAACTGTTATTAATTAAGTATTGCTCATTTAAAGGCCTCCAAATGATCACTGGGCTTTATGCAGTCAACAACATCCGAATTGTAATAATTTAAATAAGTGTAGATAAATTCCTCTTGTTGTAGACGAAAAATGATTTTATTTCATTTCATAGCTATATGTACTTTGTTTAATAAAAAATAAAATGAAATAAAATATCTCTCTCCTTCCACATTAAAAAGTAATCTTTTTTCGTCAGATATCTTTTTTAATCCTACTAAAGCTACTAACTACCGCTTGGAAATGAGGTTCCTTTGAGCGGAGAAGAAACGGAGAAAGAAAATACGCAAGTATCATCTTTTTTAATTAAAAAATTATATTACATGGCATAGTAGGTATGTACAGTATGGAAAAACGACAACAGCCCCGTCGGTAACTGAAGTGTGTGTTTTATTTTATTTATAAGGGTCACTGACAAATGATACACTAAAATTAATACAAGATACGTATATACGTACGTAAGATAAGAATACAACCTAAAATTTAGTAGTTTAGTAGCAAAATTGGGTATTCATGACAAATGACGTTTACATTTATCATCTAAATGAAGTAACATTTTTCTTCTGAAGTTTCAGATATTATCCAAATCAAATGGCATAGATATATCATTATAATATAGTCTTTATATCACACTCTGACAAGTAAACGAATGTCTAAAAACATTTCATGTTTTATACCTCAATTTACAAAACATCAAAATATTCTCTAGTACGAGTAACTGCCTATGCCTTTTAATATTTGATTATTTAATAAAGGCGACGCGAAATTATTTCGAAATACTCAAGTGGAACTTAATTGAAATTAAGTTCGTTTAGGAACTCTTATAGTATTACAAATTAATTTAGAAGTTTTGATTGCGATTCATTTATCGTGGAGTAAGAACTTTTGCTTTTCACCTGGCCATTACTTATTCGAAATTTGTTTTATTTTTGAATAAAGTGACAAACAAACACACAGTTCACCAAAGAATAAGTGGATGTTGTAGCCGATAGCCATCAACATCTATCCTCACCCCTAAGGATTCAGATGGAATGCTTTCTTACCAGCCACACGGTGGGTGGTGCGGTGTCATATGGTGAGTGGAGAGAACCGGAGACTGGAGACTCTTCGTCTCCGTTTCTCTCTACTTACCTATACCACTCTACTCTAGAGGTTTACTCCCATTGATCGCCTCGCAAAGAGGATTTGCCATGGTTGGCACGCTTTGCAGACGGGCTAGGAATATCAGCTTTTTATTATTTTGTGTTGTTATCAGGAAGATTGTACTGCTTATCCTCAGTATTATTCATCTCTGTTGCCTCTTAAGAAACCCATGGAATCATATAGGTATAGAGAACTTTCTCACGTATTATTCTGCTGTTATATTTCATATTGCCAAGCTTACCAAGCGTGTGGATTAAGGCAAATCCCCTCTACAATGGAAGAAGCCTGATTTCAAAGATGAAGAACAATAATTTATACGTGGTAGAGAGCCACGCTACAGCTATATTATGGTACGCTACAGCTATATTATAGCACGAATGGGTCGGCTCAACCGGGGAAGGATCATGCTCTCACAGAATACCAGCGTAAAATAGCAGCTTAATACAGCTATGTTTCGTATGGTGAGTGTAGGAATCCGGAGACCCTTTTCTATTGGAAACGAGGCATTCCATCTTTGTCCTCAGGGGTGACATCGCATCTGCGTTTTGATTCTTAATCGAAAATAAATATAGATATGTATAGGCCACAGCATCCACTTACCATCAGGTGGACTGTGTTCTCGTGCGTCACCCTTATTCTGTAAAAGAAACTGCTTTTGTAACCATTTTGATGCTACGTCAACAGTCTTATATTGTTACACATCTGGATATAGACCTCCTCAAGAATAAACTAGCTGGCAAGTATTGCTGGGGAGATATACTTCTCCACCCTGGACAGGTGACTTGGCGCCCGAAAAGCAAATACCGTCCCTCCTAGAGATCGATTTTTTCTTTAAATTTATATGTAACTACTCCAGTATGCCACTCCAGTGAGCCGTGGTAGCTCAGATGGTTAACGCTCGCTGTAAATATAACAGAACGCGAGTAACCCGGGCTCGATCCCCGCCGGCACCAATGAAATTGTTAATTGCAATTTTAAGTGCTGATTTACCACGTGCTCGGCAGTGAAGGAAAACATCGTGAGGAAACCTGCATGTCTGAGGAATAAGAAAAAAAATATTTCGAAGACATGTGAAGTTCGCCAACACGCATTGGGGCAGCGCGGCGGACACTTCCTTGCCCTAAAACTCTATCTGAAATGAGGGGAGGCCTGTGCCCAGCAGTGGGACGTATATAGGCTGTAACTTTACTTTACTTTTACTTTACTACTAAATAATAAACGGCGTTCAATATTAATGTAATCATTTACTATTCTCATCTATCAGAAAGTTGTCAATAGTTTTAACATATTTTATTAAACCTATAAACTCAGAGTATAATTATTTTTAGCTATTACTTTTATACAGTAGTTAGTATTAATATAATTATTTATCATTCTTATCTATTAAAATCATTTTTTTAATTATATTGCTAGTAATCAGTAACAAGTATTACTGTAAGTTATTTAGTCTATAGAAAGTTTCCAGTAATTTTAAACACAGATTTTATAAAAAACCAAAACTCTTAACTCTTCATTTGCGCAATCTTTTCACATGCTAAAGCCATACTGCATCTATATTATGGTCGTAGTACGAATGGGCGACGATTATACCAGCGTTAAATTGCTGATGTGTTTGGTATGGTAAGTGTAGAGAACCGGAAATCTTTTTTGTTTTTTTTGTGAGGAAACGAGTCATACCGGGTAGTCAGCCTCAAGGGTCTGCCTTTTTATTCTTAATCGAGGATTGAGGATTGATGTAGATGTCAATGGGCAATAGCATCCACTAACCATCAGGTGGACTGAGTGCTCATTTGTCACGCTTATTCTATATAAAAAAAAACTCAGTTGGATTAAGCCGTGTAAAGGAGTTTCGAAGTATTTCCGTTTTTACAACTTTCTAGATCACGCAAACTCATATTTTCCTCAAACCACCGGGTCCTTAAACGACCTGGTGTACCTAGACAGTTGCGTACTTAACCTGTAGGTCAACCCAGCTTTAACTGAACCTCTAGATTTGTAATTTGTTATAGTAATTTTATTTTTTGTATAGCGCCGTGGCAAAAATTAAATACTATTGTTTTTGTTAGTTGGATGCGCCTATGCTTCCTAACGGACCCTCGTGGCAAGGTTCCCGTTAAAGTGGTAGCCCGTACCTTCGCCTCCGGTAAGACTGAGAAGATGGTGTACCAATGCCTGTCTGAACTGGGTCTGCCTTCGGGAAAGAACGACGTGATGGAAAAGGAAGCCTTCACATTCGACAAGTTTTACGCACTGTATCACAAGATTTGCCCGAGGAACGATATCGAGGAGTTGTTTAGATCAATGTGAGTAATGATATATGAATATTTTAAAAATTATGTTAATATTTATAATTATTTTATTTTTATTTTATTTATTTAATATATTATTACATTCATTAATAAACGTTACGTTACGGTACAATCATAAGTTTATAGAAACTTTACCGTGTTTGGTATTTAGAGCCGTATGTTTCATCCCGTAGGCTGTAGGTGTCGTAAGAGTTGACGGAGGGAAATGAAATAGAGATGGCAGGAGCTGCTTCCTGATTACAACTCAAAATAATAAAAAAACTGTACTCGCCAGCCCTCCCGCCAAGCGTGACTGTGGCAAATATCCCCCCATGAGGTATCAAGGGGGGGCCACGATCAGTCTTTTGATAGGCTGTTTTGACCGGAAAACACGGTACTGAATAGTATTTTAGCCCACTGTTGAGCTCAGATCTCTATCTAAAAGACTCAACCGAACATTCCGTCGCTTAAGCTCCAGAACGAACTGGCAGACATATGTCTTCATAATATTTTTATTTCCTAATCGTTCTGAATTCCACTCACGATTTTATAACTCGAAACGTGGAGAAAACGTGGTTGCAAATGGATCTTCTTTTTCAATATTCTTACTGACTTTACTGGCAACTTTGATACGTACACATAGGTAATTTACTGGCAATTTTGATACGCACACATAGGTACTTTGTCGAGTGCAAAGTAAATGACACCGCGGGAAAACGAACACGAAAGCATTTGACTTTTCTCATGGGCGGAGCCGAGAGCAAAAGCTAATCTAGAAACTTCATTTGAAGTAAATCAGTTAAAAGAAAAATTTACTGGGTGGCTTGACTCCTTTTTATCTAGGAGTATTCTATTCTATCTTGCCGCCAAGTAGGTACGTGCACTATTGTATTCTGGACTGAAAGGTATGAAGGCAGTATAATTACAGGCTTTAAAGCTTTACATCATAGTTCTCAGAGGTGATAACACATCTGTGGTATTCCTTAGTCTGAAGTTGGTTGAAGTTTTCCATGGGCTGCGGTAGTCATCAGATAAACCATAAGTTCCTTAATCACTTAAAGAAGAAAAAAGATAAGGTATTAAACCCAGATTTTGACGGTTGTTATAACAGGCCCTTGCAGTTATAAATCTAGTACTAACTTAGTCATACGTATTATAAAAACTCTCAACTTCTCTCACAGTACTCAAGGCAAGGCAGACCGCATCAATCTTGACCAGTTCGTGAACTTTCTAAATGAGAAGCAGCGCGATCCGCGCCTTAATGAGATTCTCTATCCCCTATACGACGACAAACGCGCCGCGGAAATTATCAACGACTACGAACAGGACGATGAAGCCAAAGCTGCCAGTAAGTAACAATTTATTTCTGACTAGCTGTTCCCCGCGACTTAACCGCATGGAATTTATTACGACTGAATTTCATGGGCCTTAAAGACTGCGCGGAACCTTAATACTTTTTCTAAAATAAAAGTAGCATAAGTCACTTCTTATAACAATAGCTATCTGCCAGTGAAAGTCCCGCCGAAATCGGTTCAGCCATTTCGGAGATTAGCCGGAACAAACAGGCAGACAGACAGACAAAATTAAAACCACTTTTACGGATTTTATCGCGTTTTATTTATATTAATTTTAATACCCGACGTTTCGGGTGCTTTCCAGCACCCATGGTCACGGGGGCCTGAGGTGACTGACGTCCCGATGTCAAAGTTAACCCGGAGTACCGTCAGCTTTTTAAATATTGTTTTTGGTCCGATCTACGCAGAATGAACTAACTGTATTTTGAAGTCTTGCAGTGGTATGCTTGGGTTTAGTTTTAATTTTATTAATTATAGGATCCCAAGCAGGTGCTAGTACCCAGCCTCCTTCTCTATTGAAATCAGGATGTTTTTTAATTTCAATAGTCTCACGTATCAACCTTGGTAGCAATCGATGTTCTTTCGCGAGGGTTTGTGGTCTATCAAATCTGATGTAATGGTTGGGGCTGAAACCGGAACGTTGATGGAAGCGTAGATCGGACCATAAATAATAATTAAAAAGCTGAAAGTACTACGGGTTACCATTGACATCAGTCCCCCATGACCATGGGTGCTGAAAAGTCGGGAAACGTCGGGAATCAAAAAATCAAATAAATTAAACGCGATAAAATCCGTAAAAGTAGTTATAATCATATGTATAGTGTTCGCGTAAATATAAGAAATTTTAATTGTTTATTTGTTATAAGTACAGTATATACTTTCATATGCATTGAGTAAAAAGCTGTTATATTGACATTACAAACACACTGCAATTTTATTTATTTGTAAGGTAGAAGTAAACTTGACAATCTAGTCCACCTGATTTTCTATTAAGTATTATAGTGAGGCTTCACTTCGAAATTTTACTTTTGTATTCTGTAAGGGCTGGTGATTCCTCAGTAGAGCAATCCGATTTTTTTTTCACAGCAAAGTAACTGCTGCATGATACACGTGTATGGCTTGGGCTGGATGTAAATTTTAGATGTTATATCGCCAAAAGCATCAGATCATACTTTTTTAAATTCAAACTAAATTACTAACTTCAGCGTTCCACTTAAAAATAATGCTTTTGTTAAGTCAATGCGTTTCACCTTCCTCGGTTGCATCACCTCTTACCATCAGGTAGGACAGTAGTAAAGCGCTAGCTTAAAAAAATCCTATTGACGTAACTTAAGTTTTACAAATACCAGTATATTTGTGACCTTTTTTACCGTGTGGAAAAAATAGGGTGTATCATGTAAACGGAGTAGAAGCCTATGGCACTGATACTTTACAAAAATAATAGCAAACATTTTGTATTAAACTTTTAAAAAACAAAATTTTGAACAATTACTATGCCCTTGAGCCTGTGACCCTGCGAAGTGACAGGGTCAAAGATGCGTACTAAATTTATTATTTTATTGCCTTTCGTAAAGTAGGGTAGATATGGATTGAATTTCGATAGATTTTAATATATTTATTTAGTTAATTAATTTAAAAAAAATTGTTTTTATTTTTCATTCAGTATATAATATATCGGCTGACTACTGACTGACTCATCACGATATCTCTAAAACTGTACACCCGAATGACTTGAAATTAAGTATAGTTACTAATTTCACAATGTGGACGCTCACTATATTTTTTATGCTCACTAAGGTCGGATTTTACGATAAACCCACAAAAAAATTCTTGATTCATATCTACGTTATTATCTTCTATATTATCAGCGAAGCGAGCAGGTATCAGCTAGTCTGTTATATTTACGAAAGTTTATTTCGAAATAAAAAGTAGCAGTCATTATATGACTATATAAGCCTCTCATTTTGGAAGGATTTTTGAAGTAATAAAAGTCAGTCACGTTGCCCGACGCGTTTCGGTGGCGTTAGAGGGCTTTAGAAGTCTTAGAAATGTTTTAATTTCTCGAACTCCTTCATCGTTGAGCACCTAAAATTTTAATTAACAATTTCAAAAGATCTTGATTAAAACCGACCTCGGTTCTGTTACAGTGAATATTATTATTAAAGTTTAAAAAAAAAACTAAACACCATTCGTTGTTCATAAGTTGTAGTGATCCTAGGGAGAATACCAGGCCATAGTCACGAAATTATTATATTGTCATAGGTTCTTAGTACGTCTGCAAAATTTCAGGTTATTCAGACGTCTAGAAGTTGATCAAAACTGAAATACAATATTCCATTTAATTCATACATATATGGATACATACAAATCCATTAAAGTTAGTTACCGTCGTTTTAACTCCACTGCTGAACTAGCTGGCCTATACACAGGCCTCCCCCATAGATTGCCTCTAGAGGGGATATTTGCCATGACTGCCACGCTTGGCAAGCGGCTTGACCTCTGCAGTTTTTTTCTTTTAGTCATCATTATGAAGATGATGCTGCCCGTCTCCTGATTTGTTACCATCTGTCGCCTCTTACGACTCCACTCGACGAGATAGCACAGTGGATATTCTCACACCGCCACATCACGGTTTGTACATTCACTGCTCCGGGAAGTCTGCAGTCTGTAAACACGTACAGGATCACCCCCGTCATTACATTAGATTTGATAGACCACAAATCCTCACTAAACAACACCGATTCCTTCCAAGGATGATTCGTAAGGCTATTGAAATCCAAAAACATCCCAACTTCAATAGAGAAGCTGGCTGGGCGCTACCATCTGCTTGGGATCCTTTAATTAATAAAATTAAATCCCAACCCAAGCATACAGCTGCAAGACTTCAAGATACTCTAAGTTCATACTGTGTAGATCGGAACAAAAATTAATAATGTTTCTTATATTGTACGCGTAACACTATACATGAGTTGAAAACTACTTTTACGGATGTTTAATCGAAACGTTTATTTTTACTTTTTATTTACTTTTATTTTTAATTCCCGACGTTTCGGGCGATTTCCAGCACCCATTGTCACGGGGGACTGAGATGACTGACGTCCCGATGTCATTGTTAAACCCGGAGTACCTTATTAATTAAAAAAGCTGAAGGTACTCCGGGTTTAACAATGACATCGACGTCAGTCATCTCAGTCCCCCTGCCATGGGTGCTGGAAAGCGCCCGAAACGTCGGGAATTAAAAATAAAAGTAAATAACAAAGTAAGAAATAAACGCGATACAATCCGTAAAAGTAGTTTTAATCAAAAATTAATAATTTTAATCTGTGGTAACCGTGGTTAACTACGACATCTGGACATTGAACATGGCGTGAGGGTAATAATAAAGATATACAGCAGCAAAAATATTCTATTAAAAATAAATGTTAATTTGAAACAAACATTACATTTTTATATTTTATCTACTATATTTCACATGGTTCTATAATAGTATATTTTATATAAAAGTTTGCCAACCCTGGTCCGTGGTTACAGTTTCATCCCTATTATTATCTCCTGGCTTATATCCATTACAGCCCATGAAGTCCACTACTGAACATAAACCTCCCATATAGATTGTTGCCATATTTGGCAGGCAGGTTGGCGAACCGCAGTTATTCATTATTTTGATCTGTTATCAAGAAGATGCTGCAGCCTATCTCTTGTTTTCCCTGTGTCACTTCTTGCGATACCCATAGGACGATTTAGCGTATTAATCTATATTCGGATAAACATGCTAGTAACCTTGGTTATTCAATGTAGATTATAAATGAATACTTATCTATAAAACCGTGGACTAGTTGTTTCCGTTTTGCGATAGCGATATAGCATTATTTTCTTGAGGCAGTCTTCTGATAGGGGGCCCGTATTTAGGATGCAAAAACGATGTGTAAGGTCAACGTGTGGTCTGAAAATAACAGACTGTTTTCATAATGATTTCTTAAATTTACGCGAACACTACACATTGAATAAAACTAAATTTACGGATTTTATCGCGTTTATTTAACTACTTTTACTTATTTTTAATTCCCGACGTTTCGGTTGCTTTACAGCAACCATGGTCACGGGGGGGACTGAGATGTTTGACGTCCCAATGTCATAGTTAGTCCGGCTACCTTCAGTTTTTGAATATTAATTTTTGGTCCGATTTACGCAAAACGAGCTTATAGTATCATGAAGTCTTGCAGTGGCATGCTTAGGTTTGGGTTTAATTTTGTTAATTATAGGATCCCAAGCAGGTGGCAGCACCCATCCATCTTCTCTATTGAAATTTGGATGTTTTTTAATTTCAATAGCCTCGCGTATCATCCTTGGTAGGAATCGGTGTTCTTTTGCGAGAATTTGTGGTTTATCAAAACGAATGTAATGGTGGGGACGATCTTGAACATGTTCGCAGACTGCAGACTTCCCGGAGCGTCGGTGCTTCACGTCAGCTATATGTTCATTCAAAAAATTAATATTCAAAAACTGAAGGTAGCCGGACTAACTATGACATTGGGACGTCAAACATCTCAGTCCCCCCGTGACCATGGTTGCTGTAAAGCACCCGAAACGTCGGGAATTAAAAATAAGTAAAAGTAGTTAAATAAACGCGATAAAATCCGTAAATTTAGTTTTATTCAAGATAGATGTTTTCCTTATTTTTAATTTTTAAAAATCCTAATATCGGGACTCTAAATTCTCAATGTTCGCTGACGACTTAAAATTATATAGTAATAGTTAACTCATCTGATGATACATTATTACTGCAGAGGGATTTAAATAATTTAGCGATGTGGTGAGAACTGTGAACGGAGTATTGATAACGGAATGAGCATGAATCCTGATAAATGCCAAGTAGAGCGATTCAGCAAAAGAGACATGTACCAATCAGACTCTATCATATCAATGATATGCCACTAAGAGAGTAAGCCACATTCGAGACCTAGGAGTCGTCATTGACAGCAAACTACCCTTTTCAATATTCATATTGACGATATTATAAATAAGGCTCTAAGAATGTTGAGCTTTGTCTTTCGAAACTGTAAAGAATATAGGAATCCCATGGCAAAAATTACAGTATGTAACTGCCTTGTACGTGGTATGTTAGAACATGGCAGTACTGTGTGGAATCCGCACTACGGTACATATATCAAACGATTAGAGAGTGTACAAAAGCGATTTTTAATGGCATTTGTCCTATAGTTGCAACTTAGCCAAGAAACTCCCAAGCTACAACCATCGACTACTACATTTTCGCCTCAAATCTTCATTCTTCCACTTGCCCCACCATTTCGTAGGACTGTGCTTGGTAACAACTCTCCTGTAGCTAGGTTAAGTAAACTTTATAATGGGATCAGTAGCCGGACAGATATAAATTTTGTTTCCTCGTACAAGTTTCGCAAGTACTTGTTAGACACAATTTCAAATTAAGTTATTTTTATTTTGTATGTTTACTACACATAATGTCTAAATCACTGGTTGTTTTGTTGTTCTGTTTTAAAATGTTTTAATTAATTTTTTTTTTCTTAACATAATATGTAAATTAACACTTTAATTATGGTTTAGCGGTGTTTACCTGTAAGTAATTGTGCAATTAGTATAAGACTTTATCATACATTTAGATTTAGTATGTTAAATTGTAACAATTGTAGGTAGACCTTTTTTTTAAATAAATAAATAAAAATCACTCCGACACCGTACGGAACTACTTGACGTCATAAATGGAAATAAATGGAAATTTTGACACTTCCGATCTTTTATCTCGAGTAAATATTGCTGTACCTAGAAAGCCACACTGACTTACGAAACCTCCTTTTAAAAGTTATCCCGCCGCGTCACAGTTGGGTCCGTATGCTCCGTTAAACAGAGCGATGAGGAGTTACGATCTCATTCACAACTCTATATCCAGTGAAACTGAAAAAGGATCTTCTCAGCTAGATATTTTCTCAAACTCCTTAACACAAATTAAAAATTTTGCAGCTCAAGTAATAACACAATAATACGATTATTATGTACGATAGGTAATTTTAATTTGAATGTGTGTGAGCGTTGTTTTTATTTTTATTTTTCTCTCAATTTTTTATTTTTTATTTAATTTTAACTTATAATATAAATTTTTATTTTCATGACATTACGACATGTTTAAAATTTAATTGATGTTTTTATCTTTTAGTTTTTAAATGATATATTGCTCTTGACATAGTTAAGTGTAATGCATTGATAAAATTTTATTATTATTGTTCTTAATAGTACTAATAAGTTAATCAATTGTATAATAACTTCCTTATAATAATGCATACATGTTAATATAAATAAATTAAATTTCTTCACGACATAAGATAATGTACGAGACTTTAAAAGAATGCTGTTTGCGCCTATAATTGAAGTAGCACTTTGCACTATGTTTCTTTTTTTTTCTGATATTTTTATGTAATAGTGTGTACTTTGTTAGTGCAATAAACAATAAATAAATAAATAAACACTGCCATCATTGTATATTCTGTATAATCAGCAAATTTTGCAAAAGAGAATCCAAAAATTATCTCCAGTTAGTATTATATTCTACACTCCGTAAATAAGTTACGTTACATAAAATATGAAACATCACTAATGAAAAAAAGCTTTTTTGATATTGCCACCTGATCCAATAAGACATATGACCTTATTTAAATTTAAAAAGTGCTAAATCAGTTTTTAATAGACAAATGTTATTATAAAATTGACGAGTTCTTGAATGATAATTTTGACTAATTATTATATTGACTTTTCTTTTTTTTATTATTGTCATCGATTTAATTTTATCATTGCAAAATTTTAATTAATATTCCATTTTCGTTAATTTTTATTCTTTTTTATTTTATGGCATAATTCTCATAAGAACACACTATTATATTTGTATGTCTTTAAAGACCGATTTACACTTTGACAAGTACAGTAGCGAGTTTAGTTACAGGACAGTTGACATTAAATGGTTAAGTGGGCAGTAGCGTTCAAACAATGTCTTCGTGGCGAGTTTAGTTAAGGACATTAGTTCATAGAGTTCGTGGGAGTATGACGTTTCAAGACTACAGAATTTTTCTGGTTTTCGTTTAAGATGGTTCTTGGATTACGTCAAGAATTAAATGATCCAGTCAGAGAAGTATTAATGGTTGTTGTTAAAGAAGTTTTTAAGAATTTTCATGAGTGCAGCATCCCAAGCAAGTTTAATTTTACAATTTGAACTTCTAGTATTATATAAACATTCGTGTTCTAAATACTCCTATACAAAATTATACGTGATATCTTCCGTCCATTATACTATTAAAACCCAATATAAAACGTATAAATATTCAATAAACAGTATAGTACAAACTTTGTGGCGAGTTTAATTAAAAAGTACAATTGTACGTTTTGGCGCGCAAACGTTGCGTCCTGTCAACTTATTCACTGAACTAAACTCGCTCGTTTACGGAACGCGAACGCGCGTACGCGCTACGTACGTAACGCGCGAACGGCGAGTTTAGTTGCGGGTGGCGCGAGACGCGCGGGAGGGCAGCACTTCGCACTTAACTCGCCGAAAAATAGCTCGGCCGGCTATCCCGTTCAACTTAATCGTTAACTTGCTACTTAACTCGCTTATTGCCATTCAAACGAGGTTTAAACTTAACTCGCCAGGTTCGCAAGTTAACTCGCTACTGTACTCGTCGATGTGTAAATCGGTCTTAAGACAAAACATAGTGTACTAATAATTGTAACACTCGCAAGACCTGAAATTATGTTTAAACCCATTGTTAACAACGCTCACGTTGCTTCTCGGATATCTGAAATATAAATAATATTAATTAATAAAACATAATATATGTAAAATATATACACATAAGAAATTGTTACTTACCTTTTGTACTTGTTGTTTTTCTATAATAAATAAGTACGTGTGCATACGGGGACGGTGGCACTTACCGCGATTTTTATTTAGGATGAAGGTATATTTTGCAACACCGGTGTTGCACCGCGGAGTTCATGATCCCCCGCTTAATCAGTTGCACTAGAACATCGTACGGGGTACACCTATATCTCCCTTCCCGCGGATGTACACGCGCTCACTAATTATTTTTAGTTTATTTTACTCCCAGACGACACCAGTGGCCTACATCACCAACACCCATCGACCTATATTACTTACGTAGTAGTAATAACTCAATATTTAAACCTACCCATGTTTGACAAATAAACTGTTCTGATTCTGATCGCAACCTAAAACATAACACGCAGCTGCAGCTACACTTTAATAAATGGCAGCGACGATAAAAAAATATAGTACAAAAAAAACCACCCCCCTCCTCCCGCCCCACCAAAACATTCTCCCCCCCTAAAATTTTAAAAAAAAAAAAAACAAAACCTTTTGTTTTTGTTTCCCCTCCCCCTCTCCCCCCCCTATATTCCAACTCTAATTTTCAAGTATTTTTCCCCCCCCCCCCCCCCCCAACTGGCCTACCGCACTTATTTTTTTTTAATTACCTCCGTGCGGGGCGAGTCGCTAATTATATAAAAAAGTTTCCAAATCTAGTTCACGGTTACAAATGCAGCAATATTATTATCTACTGGCTTATAACCATATTTTAAAGTGTTCTTCGTAGTCAAAATACGGTTGGGGCGCATCATCCAGAACCTGGGTTGCTCAAGTGCCAAGCGCTCACTGTAAATTAAACAGCACTCTTAAGTCGACTTCGAAACCCGTCGTCACCAATAAAATTGTTCATTGCAATGGGACCGTGTTTAATGTTTTGCAGAAATGATAGAGCAACCCATAAAACAAAATTTGTTCAGATCTGAAAAAGTTATAACGCATGTTTCATGTGGCAGGTCCCTATAATATCATCATTGTCATCATATATATCATTTTAAAGAAAAGTTTATGTAGATTTTGTGATTACATGTTATTATTCAGATGTCTTTCATACTTAGAAGAACTGAAAACGAGCCTCTGGATCATTATTTTTCTAGTTTCTTTTGTAGAGAATAAGGATGAAAAATTAGCACGCAGTCCACCTGATGGTAAGTCGATGTGTTGCTGTGTCCCATAGACATTTAAATTTATCCTCAATTAAGAATCAAACTGCTCATGCGTGAAGGTGATACCTTCTTTCCAGTAAAACGGGTCTCCAGTTCTGTACACTCACCATACGAAACACAGCAGCATTAAGTTACGCTGGTATTCTTTGCGAAAGTGGTCCTACCCCGGTCGAGCAGACCCATTCGTGTTGCAGCCGTAATAAAGCTGCAGCGTGGCTCTACCACGTATTAATAATATATCCATGTGGTGTAATTATGTATTATGTAGACTCAAATAAAGATGTTATTTCTTTTTTTCTTTACATTTACTTTTACATCATGGTCCTAACTTTGCTAATATCACCCAGAGTGCCTGACGAAGGACGGTCTGATCCGCTACCTGATGTCAGACGAGAACGCGCCCGTGTTCCTGGACCGGCTGGACAATTACATGGACATGGACCAGCCGCTCTCCCACTACTACATCAACTCGTCACACAACACCTACCTCTCCGGACGTCAGTTCGGCGGCAAGAGCTCCGTCGAGATGTACCGCCAAGTGCTACTGGCTGGATGCAGGTGGGTGCCCTTGTATCATCACTTTTATAATACTCTAAAGAATCAACATTGACTTGGAGGTATTTATTTTAAGTTACAGCTGTGGCCACTTGTCAGATTTGTACTGTGGCGGCGCCGTCGTCGCGCCGCAAGCGAAACACACCGAAGACTAAATCACGCTATCAAAATTTCGAATCATAAACAGTATATATAGAACATCTCCGAACTATCACACGGAGTGTTGGCCACTCCCTGGGCAGAACACCTTGCCCGGCGGGAGTTCTCCCCTTTTCCTACTTCGGCCACAGTGGTGACCACGACTAACAGTACAATACTACAAATTATGAGTTCTGACTCTTAACTAGATTTGACAACAAGAATACTACATCCAAATCATCTGAATGCTTTGCGGTCACCACTGTGCGTAATACTATAAGTTTTCCCTCGCATGTTTACTTTGTGGAACCGTTTGCCACTGGCGATTTTTACGTTACGACTTAGGGACTTTCAAGAAACGTACGTATCATCGTTAGGCTGAGTACAAATCCAATATTCCATTAGTGACCATTTACGACATGCTAGGCAAGTAACACGCACACATACATTTTTACACATGCTTTTTTGTTTTAAGTCGTACATAAAGATAGGTCCTATAAGTCTCAAAACAGCATGGTACTGTTGAGGTACTTCAAATAACAAAACAAAGAATACCAATTAAGGAACCCTTTTTAGATTATGTATCTATCATCTTGCCTCACAAAAATAAACGTATAATAAACTCCACTACTACCTACCGTACCGTGTAGTGGCGTTGTCGGGATACCCGACATCACCGGCTACCCCATACCGCCACGTGGTTGTCGTAAGAGGCGACGGAGGGAAACCAAAACAGGAAATGGGAGCATTATCTTTCTAATAACAGCTGAAAAAACTGTGGTTGCGAACCCGCCTGTATAGCGTGCAAACTATAGGCTGTAATAGATGATTTTTTATGGGATATGATAATAAACGAGCACACAGTCCACCTGATGGTAAGTGGATGCTGTGGCCCATATACATCTATATCTATCCTCGATTACGAATCAATTTGTTTGAAGTACATACTTTGTGTGGCCTCTTAATTAAAAAATAATAATACAAGTTTTTAAGAATTAATTCGCACACATCCGCTCAATAAAATATAATAATAATATGTCTTACCTAGTTTAAAGAACACTATTCTATTAATTATCTTAAAAAAAAATTATTATTTTTAATATTTATTACTCCCGACAACAAACCCAAAATTCCGACATTTTCAAAAAATTTCCAGATATGTTGAAATTCCAATCTAGCAAAACTAAGTGTATCTGGTTAGACACCACCCTATCACCTATTTCGTGTACAACTGTATTCCATGGCCCTAAAGTATAGAGAAACAGTATAATATTTAATTATTCGAATTGGCCACCAATCCTCCTGGGCGGTGTCTATCAATGTATTTGTGTCATCATTTAGATTTTAGATAGGTAGTCATTATTAATTGATAAAATAAATGGCCGACATTTAATTTATCAATTTTTCGATTTCACTAAAAATCCCGTGGGTGTCGTAAGAGAAGACAGAGATAAAAAAATCTGGAGATGTTTTTTCTTTTATAGAATAAGGGTCCACACATAAATCAACGCAGATCGTTGTCACCCCAACAAGAGGAGTGCCTCGTTTCCACTAAAAAAGGGTCTCCGGATCTCCTCAGCTTACGAAACACAGCAGTATTAAGCTGCTATTTTACGCTGGTATTCTGTGAGAGCATGGTCCTTCCCCGATCGAGCCGACGTATTCGTGCTACAATCATAATATAGATGCAGCGTGGCTCTACCACGGTGGTATAGAGAGGCATGTGAGGAATTCCATCTTAGTCCTCAGAGGTTACAACGCAACTGTAGCTTTATTTATTTGAAGTTCACTTTAGGTTTATACGGACTGCAGCCACCACTTATCATCCTCACTTATTATATTCCAGATGCGTAGAGCTGGACTGCTGGGACGGCAAGGGCGAAGACGAGGAGCCGATCATCACCCACGGGATGGCGATGTGCACTGACATCCTGTTCCGCGACGTGATATACGCGCTCCGTGACACGGCCTTTGTCACGTCGGACTGCCCGGTCATCCTGTCCTTTGAGAACCACTGCTGCAAGGCGCAGCAGTACAAGCTGGCCAAGTACTGCGACGAGATACTCGGCGACCTGCTGCTCAAGGAGCCGCTGCCCGAACATCCCGTGAGTTGGACCGCTCTTGTTGATTTCTTCGGTTCTCCTACTGCTACTTATGGACTCCACACACGGTCAGTTCAACTGATCATTCTAACTGATCAGTTCAAACTAAAACTGTTGATAGTTTTTTTTTTGTAGGAGTTTTGTACATAAGTTTATTTATCGATATATCGAAAGTCAAATATTTTAAAAAATATCAACAGATCAGTTTAAATGATCAGTTGAACTGACCGTGTGTGGCGACCATAAGAGGAACAGAATGTCCTTGAGTTCGTCTTGGTAGATAGATCCGCGTAATAAAATAAAATGATGCGTCTTACCTAGTTTTAGGAGCACCTTTTCCTTTTCGTAAAGCTACTACTACATAAATAAAATCGTTTAAAGTTAAAATAAGTAATTTGAAAAATAACTTACAATATACAGTTATAGATTTGATCACTGTCTAAAATAAACTTTTTTACAAATAGAGAAAATTGTTGTTTTATTATTGAAAATGACTACACTAGGAAAGACACACTACCGTCAATAATATGACTCGTGTTTATCCTCTACACGAGGCACCCTCAGGTGAAGTAGACTCCGCGGTAGTCGGCAAAGTAACGCCTGATTCTTTTATTTTATTAAAGTAATATGTCCTACGTACTAGAAGAGACTTGGTGGTTTGGTCCTTCGTAACACGCGTTAAAGCACATGAGCTCATACTTAGTCTGCGCCATAAAAAGGTACTTATTGCTTCCGACTACTCGGCCCGCGCTACCACTCAAAGTTTGTTCCCGGTTCTGTTTTAGTACATATTACTTTAATGGTAGATTCAACTAAGAACAAGAACGTCAATGACCTCGTGACTTGAAAGTACGGCTTGCATCTGTCGATCTGTCAACTGTCATTCATAAAGTACAACTTGCAAAGGAAATTAATTTGTGTATTAATAACATTTTTTTGCATAACTAAACCTCAGTAATGGTGCTGTGTTTCGTATGGTGAACGTAGAGAATCGGAGACCCTTTTTACTGGAATCGAGGCATTCCATCTTAGTCCTCGGGGATAACAACTCATTTGCATTTTGATGATAAATACGGATGTCTATGAGCCACAGCATCCACTTAACTTCAGGTAGACTGTGTTCTCGTTTGTCACCCAAAGTTTAAAAAAAATTGGTTGACCCTGCAGGCCATCCCTGGAACTTCCCGCTAATTTCAAATGCAAAGCGCTCCAAACTTCAAAATTATTTTAAAAATATCTGTTCTGCTCACTCTATCAAACTGGATTGAATAAAGCTGAACTAAGATGTCACAATATGGCGTATTAATCCTATTCTTACTGGATACATTGTACACCCTTGTTCCAGTCTAGCTATTGCAGCCTGTGTACGTTTCAGGTCATTTCATGTCAAAGACCTCATTTTTGAAGGGTTATGCAGAAACTACTCCGCTTCGTTGCTTCAATTCGTGTTAGGAAACTTTATATGTCCTAGAAATATCTTATTTTTCAGAAATGCAGGTTTCCTCACGATATTTTCCATAACGTTCACGTGTTGCATTTTCATTTGTTCGAGCACGTGGTCAATTAGAATATATTTCGAGGGTGTAGATATATTTCGAGGGTGTAGCTACACCCATATATTTCACCACTAATTTTCGGAGCCTCTATTCCTCTAACGGCTCTTCTAAAGTGCAAAATAATATTTATTTTAGCTGGAACCTGGGGTACCTCTACCGCCGCCCTCAGCCTTGAAACGTAAAATCATGATCAAAAATAAGAGATTGAAGCCAGAAGTGGAGAAGCAAGAGTTAGAGTTGTTCCGACAGGGACAGTTCGTTATCGAGGACGAAGTTAAAGAAGACGCCTCTGCTGTGGTCTTACCCGAAAAGAAGGTAAAGTAACGTAATTACACCATCCTTAATTTTAGTTCTAAATTCGACTGTATTTTTTTATGTGTGTTACCTCAAAACCTGTTTCTAGGTGAACTAATTTTGATGATCCTTTCTTATTTGAAAGCTGGTGCTTCTAATGTGGTGCCATATAAATTTTATCAAGATCTGATCAGTATTTTTTGAGTTATACTTAATAATGCGTATTTAATTGACTTCGAATATTTTCATTTTATTTATAGTACTTGGATGACCGAGTATTGCTCGGTTTTAATTAAATTTTTTATGCAATTACTTTAATTAAAATTTTCGTATTTTTATACTAAAAAAGGCTCGTAATAATAGATTTTCTCACAAAAGAAGGGAACTTGAAAAAAAAGGAAAAGAACTCGGACCGAAGACAGGACGCGAACCAAGGCATTACGATTTCGCGACCGCTCGCTATCCACTTGAGCTATTACGATCATTAACACAATGTCAAAATTTTCCTTGTTATATTGTAGCAATTTTTCATTGCTTGAAAACACGGACAAAAAGACATTTTTTAAAAATAAATCCTAGCTAGATCGATTTATTACCCCCGAAACTCCCTGGACACAAAATTTTATGAAAATCGTTGGAGCCGTTTCCGAGATTCCGATTATATATATACAAGAATTGCTCGTTTAAAGGTATAGGATCCTCTTACTGTTTCTTTTTATAAGTTCTATTTTTTTATCTAACTGAAAAACTATCAAAACGAATAAATAAAAAAATTATTGTTGATAAATGACTGATTGCTCAAGGGAGGTAACTGTTCTAGTTGTCTTTGATTACCCTATTAGCCTTTGATAATTTTACTTATACATACTATATAGACTATATATGCCAGAAAAATCTTCTGCATCTTTTGAAATAAATGTCGGTATAACCATCTCGTTACGCCAGACGTAAAATACCCAGATTAGACCGTACAGCAGCTTCAATAAGTCTCAAGAACCACAATAAACATAAGTTGTGTTAGGCCGCTTATGACTTGTCGGTGCGGGAGCGGTGCGGATTCGTTTCGCTCGGTATACGCGGTACCGAAAGCTTGCCGAGAGCATATATTTTAAGCCGGCAATACATGTTGGTCAAGCCTCAACCAATGCGAGCGTAGGCAAATTGATACAAGGCGATTGCTACAGTCTACATGTTGGCCAAGTTTGAATGAGCGAACATACTTACATGGCCGACTTACGTGTGGACACTACCGTGTGTTCGTGCAGAAAACCGCCACTGTTCCGAAGTGAGATGAGTCGTGACGAGCGATCCCGAGTGGTGACAAGGTTTTTATTTAAGCCCGAAGCAATTAAGGACAACCCTCCTTTTTTGACATTCTATACATCAATAAAAAAATCGTCATCTTGGGGAAGTTCTTGAGCCGCAACAAAAAGTCAACAATTAATATTATTTTCGATATATGTGTGACGTCAATAAAGTTTTCTTTTTTACAAAGGCTATAAACATAACAACACAACAAATTATCGTTATCACTCGAAGACGACATTTTCATTCGGTACTGCAGGATTTTATACCGATAGGTAGGCAGCTGAAGGCAATGCGGTATCGTTTCGGTGAAGACCTTACAGATGACGCACCGCTCGAGCACCGACAAGTCAGAAATAAGCCTTCGATTGTAGAAAAAATTGTTAGCGATTTACATAACAAAGAACTAGTAATCTCACTCGTCCGCAGTTTACTGAAGAAGTTATGCAGAATTGAGCGTAACGTAGTGTGCAATGTATTAGTACCTAGGTGGACGTGTAGTAGTAGTATACTTGTACATATGGGTGTTTGGTTGTGCGTGTGTGTGGCGGGCTGATGGAGGAGGTGGCGATGGGTAACTAACAAAAATTGCAATAACCTAGCTATTCGGTTATTTGTGGTGGAATAACCAGCTATATAACGAGCTATGCAGCTATTTGTATAAATGACTCAGTAACCAAGTTATAGTTGATACCGTAAGCGTAGCGACTGTAGCTAGGACTTGAATGACGCCCAACTGCCAGGTGATTACTTTCGAATCGCCGCGGAACATATTTTATTTATATTTAGATAAATAAAAAATAATTACTTTCGTTTTTATTTTGTTTTATACTTCTTCGAACGAAATGAACTTCCCTCATAACTATGTCGTAAGTATTATCAAACTAAAAACTGTCGAAAATCTATCTATATTTTCAGTGCCATCTATATTTATGGGTATGAGGAGTTTTTGTAGTGTCAGACTTAATTCGTACCCAAATGTTTCATCGTCAGTACTAAGCCTGTAGAAAGTATGACGGAAAGTTCATTTAAATTAAATCAACGGATAAAAATACAATTATTTTTATGTACATATTACTAACAATGAACCCAACCTTTTTTAACGATGGGAATATATATTGTGAATTTAAAAAAGGTAAGGGCTATGCGAATGAAGATTGCGGCGATCGCGCGTGCCGTTGTCCAATGCCCGTTGGCTGTAAAACTAAAAAAGTTATATACGCGCGGCAAACGGTCGCCGGCTACACAACGTACAGATTATAAATATGTCCTCTGTGGCAGCTGCCCGCTGCACCGTAAGTTTATCGGATAATCGAAACGCCTCTAAGTCTAACCAAAGTAGCCAATAGCTAGTTATAGTGTTGACGAATATCATTGTGGTGGCTATTTTGTGAATAGCCGCTATTTAGTTAGCTACTTGAACAGCTAGCCGTCTCTAGGTGGAGGAGGTGGTGGCTGAGGCGGAGGCCGAGGCGGGCGCGGGCGGCGAGGAAGCGCCGCCGCCGGTGGCCTACACCGGCTCCACCACCAACGTGCACCCTTGGCTCTCCTCCATGGTCAACTACGCGCAGCCCATCAAGTTCCAGGGCTTCGAGGAGGCCGAGAGTGAGTCGCGACCATTTCAAGCTTAAACTTCACCTTGCATCAGACATTCTTTTTTTAAATAGTAATAAAATTTAAGTAGTTCCTGAAAAACCTAGTTAACATAACACCAAATAAGCACAAGTTTTATGGAAGCCACATGGCGGTGACTGTAACACTGATTTTCAGAAGACACCGGAGACGTTTAAATAAAATAAACTGAACTAATAACGGGCCCCAACATTTAAATAAAAACATGCACTTATAAAGGTTAAATATAAAAATAAAACTTTTTTATATCATAGAAGGCAAACGATCTTTTGACTCACATGATGGTGGCAAGTGACTACCTATGCATAACTGTAGCACCTATGAAACTGCAAGTGCGTTGCCGGCCATTTAAAAAAGACTAGACTATTTTCTTGAGTATTTTAAGCTTACTTGAAATGGTTACCGTGACTACTAGTAATATTCATAGTTAATATTTTATTTTAGTAAATTTAAACATTTTAGACTTTTGATAAATGTTCATGATCATCATTTAAAAAATCGTTTAAATTTTAATACATATTTATTTGTAAACAGTGTGCAATTTGGCATTTTATAAATAATTTGCTTGCGTAATTTGGAAACGATTGTAACGTCAAAACACATCTCGTGTTGACAGTTGTATGAATTGACATGTTAGTGACATTTTAGTGGCTACACGGGCTTCGCCCACTCCTCCGTTCTATTATGTATGTATTACAGTGTTCTATGGGTGATAATGATGATGATGATGATATCTGTATTATACACATTCAATGACAGTAGCTTTTTTAACAGATTTCATAGCGGGGAAGTGTATTTGTTAGGAAAATGTAAGGGCTAATGGTTCTTTCTAATTTTAGTTATACATCATATTTATTAGTGTAAAGATTAAACCAAACTACGGATATTTCTAAAGAAAGAAAAATAAAAAAAGCATTAAAAATATAGAAAAGCTTAAAAAGCAAACCACTGAGGCATTGTTTCGTGTATTAATATCACATACTCTAGAAACTGATAAAATTTTATTCAAAAGTAACTTTATGTAAAATAAGATTTGAGGAAAATTATTGGCCCTCATTAATACATTACAAGCTGTCATAAATCTATTGCTGAATATAGGCTGATTATAATTATTGTACTTTAACTATTATCGATTACACATGGCTAGGTGTAGCAACGATCTACACAAAATAACGGGTAGCAGCTTGATGGGTTAAGCCGCTATATTAAATAGTGTAAGCCCAGCGGTGAACTGACGTTGGCTGATGATGATTGTGACCAATTACAAATTATTCAAAAATGTTCTTTTTTAATTCCTTACTTTGTATCTTCCTTTAGAAAAGAATATCCACCACAACATGTCATCATTCGCGGAGACCACCGGTATGAACTACCTGAAGTCGCAGGCTATAGACTTTGTGAACTACAACAAGCGGCAGATGTCACGTATCTACCCTAAAGGCACGAGAGCCGATTCCTCAAATTACATGCCCCAGGTGAGAAGCTGAACCCATATTCTGAATTGCCTGCCATTTCACTACACTAGATTTACAAAACAAAACAAATTATGCTTGCACAAAATGCTGCTTGATTGCGCATGCATTCGTGCATTATAATTCTGTCCTGCTCCATACTGGCCACCGTGACCAAAATTTTGTCTGGAAGACATTATTATATATATATATATATATATATATATATATATATATATATATATATATATAAAATGTAACATATACCAAATATTTTGTTCTGAATCGTTTACTGAATCGATTCCTATCATTTTTAATATAGGTAATTTTTTTATCTCAAAAATAATTAAAACTACGTAAATTACAGTCACACTAAATCTGTACAGTCAAAACAAACTGAAATGGACCGTAACTTAAGGCAATAAGACTTGATTAAGATATATAAGATATACAATAAGAATTGACTTGATTAAGAGTGCAGTTTTATTTGTATTATTACTAATTCTGTCATTCTATAAATATATTTTTTACGTGGTAAAGCCATGATGCAGCTATATTTATTGTATAGTTGTAGCACGAATGGGTCGGCTCAACCGGGGAAGGACCACGCTCTCACAGAATACCAGCGTGAAATAGCAGCTTAATGCTGCTGTGTTTCGTATGGTAAGTGTAGAGAACCGGAGACCCTTTTTACTGGAAACGAGGCATTCCATCTTAGTCCTCACGGGTGACAACGCATCTGCATTTTGATTCGTAATCGAGGATAGATGTAGATGTCTATGGGCCGCAGCAACCACTTACCATCAGGTGGACTGTGTGCTCGCTTGTCACCCTTTTCCTATTAAAAAAATAAAGAAAAATGAACTTTATTTCAAGCACGTTAAAGTCTTTGCGTTCGTGGATTTGTACTGTGACCACAACATTCTTCCGGAATTAGTATAACTAATTTGATAAATAATCAGTGCATAAAAATATTTAACTAAAAATTCAGTGTATGTATTATGATTATAACATAATATACTAAATGGTATATATATATATATATATATATATATATATATATATATATATATATATATATATATGTGTGTGTGTGTATATATATATATATATATATATATATATATATATATATAAACAATATACCAATGATTCATCACAAGATCTTCAAACATCATCAGTCATCAGACATCAGTCATGTCTGAGTAAAAAGAAAAAAAATATTTCGAAGACATGTGAAGTTCGCCAACACGCATTGGGACAGCGCGGCGGACATTTCCTTGCCCTAAAGCTTCTTAGAAATGAGGGGAGGCATGTGCCCAGCAGTAGAACGTATATAGGCTGTAACTTTACTACTTTCTCGACGTAGACACCAACTAAGTAAGGATTTTAGAAATTTCAACCCCTGATGAGGTGAGGGGTGTTGCAGCTAGTATATGCCACAGCGCCTCTGTGGGTAGTCGGAATTATTGTAAACAACACGTGCACCGCACACCTGCGCATTGCACCTGCAGTGGCGCTCAAGTAGCTACTTGTCTCGATTGTATAAAAAGGACGGAACGGCCGCCGTTAAGGCAGTCTTGGCGCTGGCGTGGCACGGTTCACTTGTTGTATCCCGCTACTGGCTCATCCTAGACTATTCGGATAATTAATTCGTGGAACCAAATTAATTATTATTATCAACTATTAAATTAGTCTCAGTAAAATTTATAGTTGATTATCTCTGATCTGTGTATTTCATGATTTTATGAAGTGATAATAAGGTTTTCCATAATAAACCTAGATTTTAATACCTTCCTACATATACAATAAAATAATTTGTATATATATAATAGTAATAAAATAATTTGTTTTCCCAAACCTAAATTAACACTAAACATTTCAATTTGCAGGTGTTCTGGAACGCCGGCTGCCAAATGGTGTCCCTGAACTTCCAGACCTCAGATCTGCCTATGCAGCTGAACCAGGGCAAGTTCGAGTACAACGGCAACTGCGGCTATTTACTCAAACCGGACTTCATGCGGCGAGCCGACAGGAGCTTCGATCCTTTCGCAGACGCCCCGGTAGATGGCGTGATCGCGGCACAGTGCTCTGTTCAGGTTGGAAAACTATTTTAATTTCAAAAAATAAATAACATTTATTGTTTTACAGAAAGGTGATAAAATACCAAAAGCCATTAAATAAGCATATATATTGCCAGTTTATACGATTGCAGTAGTATGTCTGTTTCTGTAAGTCATTTTACTTGTAAAACTAGTATTTTTAGGCTATACAAATACTTGTTCCGTGCGAGATTCTAGCTATGATAGCGGCTCTTAGCGCTGCTATTCATTGCTAAACCACAGCGTTACGGAACCGTCGCCTAATCTGTACACCCGTAGCTTCTGAACTGGTTGTCGAATACAGATGATATCTCAGAAAACCCCAGAAAATATACAAAATTTGTCATACACAAAGTTCAAAAATGTTATTAAACTAAGGTTGTATAAAAAGGGTTATTATAATATTAAGGAATTTATAGATGATAATAACACCTGGAAAGATGATCGCTATCAAGCTATTTCTAATTTGTCTTGTGTTGTTAATTGTAAACATGATTGTAAGCTATTATTGGAAAAAAATAGTCCCGCTGGGTTTCTTGCTGGTTCTTCCCAGGATAGAGGTTTTTTTTTTGCGAATTTTACATTGAATAAAAAAGTTTCTGTTTCTGTTTCTCAATTTGTGACATTTGTTAGTAATAGGTCCCATCCGCATAGATCGTGATCCTCGGTGATTTTAACGCCCACCAGACTGAATTGCTTGGTTCTCGTCCAACCGATCGTGCGGGTGGATCTGTAGATCTGTCCGTGATTTTGCCTTGGCATATGGTCTGACAGAACTGGTTACTTCGCCTACGCGGATCCCAGATGTGGAAGATCATGTACCTTCCCTCTTGGATGCATGATCCATGCACGATCCATGCACGTTCTGTAGGTGCCGCCGTAATTTTTGCCCATTTACCCTGGGACGAGCCGTGTCCCACAATTTTCGTCGAAAAAACCAGGCAAGGCCACAAAAACCCCGTGATATTGCCACAGCTAAATCAGAGCACATTGGTAGAATTGACGAGAAACTAGTTCGACTTCCTTCAGGAACACGTGCATTCTAGTCTCTCGCCAAAGCTGTCCAAGGGATCTTCTGTCAGCCATCTCTTCCAACTCTGCACAGAGAGGACGCTCCACTGATATAACATCACCCTGTCTTACACCTCTCTGCAGTTGGATAGGTTTCGTACTCTGGTTTTGTACTCGGATAGCCATCGTAGCCCTACTGTACAAACACTTTAGCACTTCGATATACTGACAGTCAACTTGGCACCACTGAAGGGACTGTAGCATCGCCCAAATTTCGACGGAGTCAAAGACTTTCTTATAGCCCTTATACGCAAGACAATGGGGCCGATTGTAGTCCTCGGTTTTCTGTACAAATTGCCGAAGGATATGTTTGTGGTCTATGGTACTAAAGCCTTGTTCGGAAGGCTGGATGACGTCGAGTTTTCGTGCTAGACGATTCGTAATGACTCTCAAAAACAGCACGCAGGCGCGGCTCAGAAGGGAAGTCGATCTGTAGTTCTTCAAGAACGTGTCGCCTTTCTTGAATAATAAGACCACAGCACTTCTGCTAAACGCTGAAGTAGTTCTTGCATGGAGGATGGATACTAGATAGTACTTAATAGATGCTGAATGAGCTCAACGTGTTGTGCTCAAAGTATATACTTTTTCTTCCGTATAGACCTCCCACAACACTGTTGTATGATAAAACACAGGTACTTAGTGTAAGAAAATCACTCTGCACATAATCAACTTGACAGTAAAAAACATAATAGAAGAAATAAAGTAGATAGATACTTGGTTCCTAGAACACATAGTGCTTTTGCCAAAAGACTATTTTCTTACCATGCGCCAGTACTATAAAATAAATTTAATAAAATTTGTATTACTAAAAGCTACAGTTACTATTACTACAATTTGTGTTACTACAAGCAACAACCATCAAATCAAAAATAAAATTACTAATTGCCTTCAAACTTACGTCTATGACGCTACTGAATGTGTATTAAACCTCTAATATGTAAATGTAATTGTTATTTTGTATTGTTTTCATATTATTTGTTATTATACGTAACAGCAGCGCCGCCCCCCACACACACACACACGGCGCGCACGTACGTAGGTTTAGAAACACGTACATATATATATATATTGTGTGTGTGTGTGTGTGTGTGTGTGTGTGTGTGTGTGTGTTTGTGTTTGTGTTTTTATTCAACAAAAACTTGTTAAATTTAGGAAGGAACTAGCTCCTGTTACTCAGGTTAACCTTTTACAGGAGCTAGGGACACGTTCGTTTTTGTTGCAGTAAAGATTTTTTTATTTATTTTTTCAATTAACGAGCTTTTGAAAGACTTCAAGTACCGGTTTTCCACCCGCTTTAAGAAGCTCCGCTGTAGTTCCGTCCTCGCCCGGAGACTTACCCTTTCTCGCTCAATCTCGCTCAGACTAACATCCGGAATATCATCGGAATACTGTCGGATAAGACATAAGCTGCAACGATGATGTATACATTCGGTCTTCAGCTTGCAAACAGTTGGCTCCTTCTGGCGTACAGATATCTGGCAAAGACTCTGATTTCGTGCAATCGCTTCTTCAATACGAGCTGTATTGAGGTTGCGTAAGTCCCGCCGCATGCATTTGGAGATCTGAAGCGGGTTTTTTTTATAGGATAGGATGACAAACGAGCACACAGTCCACCTGATGGTAAGTGGTTGCTGCGGCCCATAGACATCTACATCTATCCTCGATTACGAATCAAAATGCAGATGCGTTGTCACCCGTGAGGACTTAGGTGGTATTCCTCGTTTCCAGTAAAAAGGGTCTCCGGTTTTCTACACTCACCATACGAAACACAGCAGCATTAAGCTATTATTTGACGCTGGTATTCTGTGAGAGCGTGGTCCTTCCCCGGTCGAGCCAACCCATTCGTGCTACAACTATACTACTAATATAACTGCAGCATGGCTCTATCACGTACGAATTCGGTATTCTCCTGTGGCGGGTCTTGCAGAACTTCGACCGCATGGACAGTTTTCACGAGCTTGTCATTTATATAGTCCACCGCATTGCAATCTTCTAGGCACTGAGAAAGATTCTTTAACTCGAACGAAAGATTTCGGGACTCTTCCATGGGGCACGAGGGGGACGGAACGTTGACTTCATTAGACGTGACCTCTCCACCTTAACGTTTAGATTCAGTGTGCCTATCACCATTTAGTGATCGCTACCAGTTTTCAACCTCGCGATTACTGAGACATCACTGAACAGTTGCCGTCTAGTCGTTATAATGAAGTAATTTTTTTCATTTCTTTATTTTTTTTTGTCGTCATTGGTAAAGATGGTCGCCCTTCCAGTGATAGAACAAGTTGCCGGATTCAAGGATTACCGTGTCCGCTCCCTCTCTTTGGACCTTGGATAGTCCTATATATTTCGGCGCAACATGTCTATCTCTCTTCTTTTAGCTCAAGGATATTCTCGTCAGTTCTCAGGGTGCGTTCGTTGTATGTTGCCAGATCGAGTCGTCTTAGGTGGTAACCGTACCTCCACCGGAGAATTCTTAGCAGCCCCTGCCCCGCCATTACCACGGTCGCCACCGTTGCCAGTAATAGCGGGGCCGCCGGGGACTGAGGGCCAACTCTTCGTAACTCTCATCGTAAGGGGTATATTTCCATAGTTGCCACGCTTGGCGAGCGGGTTGGCAGCCGCAGGTTTTTATTGATATTTTGCTGTTATCAGAAAGATACTGTTACCAACCTTTTGCTTCAGTTTCCCTGTATCGCCTCTTACGACACCCATGGAAAAATTTTACGTGGTAGAGCCACGCTGCAGCTATAATATGGTTGTAGCACGATAGGGTCTGCTCGGCCGGGGAAGGACTACGCTCTTACAGACTATCATAAAATAGCAGCTTAATACAGCTGTGTTTCGTATGGTGAGTGTAGAGATCCGGAGACCCCTTTTTACTGGAAACAAGACATTCCACCACATTAGTCCTCAGGGGTGACAACGCATCTGCGTTTTGATTCTTAATCGAGGATAAAATGTAGATGTCTATGGGCCACAGCATCCACTTACCATAAGGCGGACTGTGTGCTCGTTTGCCTCCATTATTTTAGAAAAAAAAAGATATGGGATAGTGGGTATTCTTGCACACCACTACACGAGAACATGGACATTATTTTTTAAAAGAACCTTTACTAAAGATAACTTTTTCATTGGTCAGTATTTTATATATACGTTCCCAGGTGATAGCCGGTCAGTTCTTGTCGGACAAGAAAGTCGGGACGTACGTGGAGGTGGACATGTATGGTCTACCAACTGACACCATCAGGAAGGAGTTCAGGACCCGCATGGTGCCGGCCAATGGACTGAACCCTGTTTACAACGAAGAGCCTTTCCTGTTCCGAAAGGTAATGAAAAATATCTATTTTTTTATTAATAAGGCACACAAACAAATCACAGACTTACATTTACAAATTAATGTTATTATAACTAGTCGTAGAGTATGCACAACAAAACAAAATATATCAGTAAATAAGTACTGAAAATAGTTATTTTAACTTAATATGAGAGTGTCAAAAAAGCTTTTTAATGATATTCCTGAAAATTGCATATCCAACGTAGCAATTATAGATCTTTTCAATTGTAAGATGTTCAAATTGAAAATGTCTAGTTCAATGCCTCAGCTCGTCAAAATCTCAACACATTCTAAGCCGTAACCGGAAAAAACTTCATTTTAATTTATGTTATTTCGGTAGCTCACATGGTTAGCGCTCGCTGTAAATTTCACAGTACGCGAGCAACCCGGGTTCGATTCCAGCCGGCACCAATGAATTTGTTAATTACAATTTTAAGTGCTGATTTACCACGTGCTCGGCGGTGAAGGAAAACATCGTGAGGGAACCTGCATGTCAAGAATTTATCAAGAAACTTCTTCATAGTACGTCACGTTATGAAATTTTGACAGCAGCTTGAGCCAGCAGACAGTCGATGACGAAAGTATTTCAAGGCGCCTAAACAGATACATTAATAAAACTATTATTTACGGATTTTATCGCGTTTAATTCAACTTTAAATAAATAAATTAAAGAAATTTAAGAAATTACAGTAAATTTAAATTACGTAAATTTAAGAAATCATTACAGACACATTAAGTTTTACATCACCATCTTAGCACTTGTTTCATCGTTTCTACTATTTGTAGACGCAGACAACTAATACTTCGCGTACTGTATATTTTCTTACATTAAGGGGAAATATAACCTCAAATGGCTAAGCAAGATCCTCCGTTATGCCGAAAATATTGCAGCATTAATTTTGAAATAAATATATGGTAAAGTTGAGGATTAATTTTAAGGACTATGTTAGACGAAAACACGATTCCGTAAAATTTTCTCGATAGAAAAAAAAATCCAAAGTTACCTCCAAACTAAAGAATAAACTGCTGTTATTCATTTAATACTTTAAATAAGATCATGAAACTTTGCATACTAACTGAACTAACTATAAAGCAGTGCTTATGTTATTTTTTTAAAATACCATTATTTTCACTGTAAAAGAAATTACCTAAACTATCGGCGTGTTGAAGCTTGATTCCTGCCGCTCGGTTAGTATTGCTTTGGCTTTTGAAGGGGGAAGTTGTGTCGCTTACGATCAGAATACACATTACGCAACAGGACAAGGTAAAATTAAAATGGGAAATAACCGTAATAAAAATAAGAAGTGACTGGGTTGGCGTTAAGAAACAGGCATAAATATGATAAACCTAATGAAATAAATATCTAACGACCTACCTACTTACAGTATTAGTGGTTACCAACATGTCGGTACATAGCATACGACGCGCGGGGGAAGTGGGGGCAAAATTAGAATTTGAGCTGACTTACTATATCGCCTTAATACACTAATATAATTTGGCATCAAAAATTTACAACATTTACGACATTACACTGATCAAGTTCCCGCCAAAACTCCATGTTAAGTATTACATACTTGCAATCTATAATTTATTATAATAAATAAATGAAATAGAAGTGTCTGTTTGTAATGTCAAAATAATAGGTTTTTGGCCAAGTCATGATGGTTATGAGAGAAATAAAATAAAAAAAAATAAGTTATGTATTTTCAAAAATAATAAGCATTTTGAAAACATCGCGAAAATCTACACCCTGAAAATTACCAAGATTTATCGTAATGGGAGTTAAAAGACTATCACAGGATATAGATTTTTTTTTTCATTTTTTTTTTAATTCCTATTATTTTTAAAAATACATAATGTATTTTTTTATTTTATTATTCTGATAATAATCTTGACTTGGCCTATCACCTGTTTTGGGCTAGACGTTGATTTCTGAGACAGCCTGTATATTGTACTAGTAACAATTTTTTTTTTAATTTTGTCCATCTGTACGTTTGTTCCGATTAATCTCCGAAACTGTTGGACCGATTTCGACGGGTATTCACTGGCAGATACTTAGCTGATGATATAAGGAGTAACTTGCTTTTATTTCAGAAGATGAATTGTGGTTCCGCGCACAAAAATTTAATGCCATGAAGTTGTAAACAAAATCCAATTTTCAATTTTTCAATTCCAACAAGTTGTAAAATAAAAATTATTCCAAGCGAACGAAGTTGTGGTCATAACTAATATTGAATAAAAAGAATTCTGTTCTTTTTTATAGAATTAGTGTGACGAACGAGTACACAGTCCACCTGTTGGTAAGTGTATACTATGGCTCATAGGCATCTGCATATATGTTTCATTAAGAATTCAACGGCAGTTGCGTTGTCAACATTCGTGCTGAAGCTATAATGTAGCTAGCACGTAAAACGTATCGATAGTGCTGTATTGTATGTGTGGCGCAAGGTGGTGCTGCCGGACCTTGCCGTGCTGCGCTTCGGCGTGTACGAGGAGAGCGGGCGGCTGCTGGGGCAGCGCATCCTGCCGCTGGACGGGCTGCAGGCCGGGTACCGCCACATCTCGCTGCGCACCGAGGCCAACTTCCCCATGTCGCTGCCCATGCTCTTCTGCAACATCGACCTCAAGATCTACGTGCCCGACGGCTTCGAAGGTACTTTATACGTATGCATTGACATTACTACCTCTCTAACTTTCTGGATATTTTACGCTTGGCGTAAACGACATAGTTTATACAAAAAAAAAATGCCAAATTGCACCCTTTTTACAAATAAATATGTATTAAAATTTAATGATGATCTTGAACATTAATGAAAACTCTAAAATGTGTAAATTTACTCAGTCTGTCAACACAGCTAATCGGCTTTGGCGACGCCAAGCCTCGTATAAAATAAAGTTGACAGCCATTCTTTGTGTATTATAGTATTCTATGGTAAACTACGTATATTTAACAGTTAAACTCTTTTATTGCTAATTAAATTTTTATTTGTAATTGCGGTGTTTTCTTTGTTTTAATTCTTATAAAAATAAATTTCCTTTTATATGTATATGAAACATTTATAAAAACAAATTAACTAACTGCAAAATTTGTTAATCCAGCCAGCATCTTTTTCCAACATATTTTTATTGTACCTTTGCAATGTTAAAAACTAAATATTTTAAGGTGTTACAATATCAAAGTAATGACTTAATTACTAAATCGCAAACAGGGCTGTTATTGAACATAAGTCTCAGTATTTAACACGGACTTATAAAAACCTAAGTTGATAGGTCTTTGTAATAGGTTTAAAATAAAAACTGTAAAAATATCATTGTGTACAGATTTCATGGCGGCGTTATCCGACCCACGCGCTTTCATGGGCGCGGCCAAAGAACGAACGGACAACATGAAGGCCTTGGGCATCGAAGAAAGCGCGCCAGAGAAGAAGGTCACTATCGAGGAGAAAAAAGAAGGTAACCCTCATGCTTGTACTTATTAACAAGTATGGTCTTATAATCGTTGATTATCTTTTACTCAAATTAAGTATTAATTATCTCTATATGTGTCTCTTTCTATTGTCATTTGCTAAAAAGAGAAAGCAACTTTAAACATTTTTGAAACTGACGTCGATATTTATGATTAACGCCGAAATTATTAACAATATTTAACTTAAAAATCAAGCACGTGATGCCTCTGTTTCCTTCTTCATCATCGCGTGTCGGAAATAGAAGGTAGAAATGAGAAATAAACGGAATTGAGGGTAGAACACAAGTTGCAAGTATTAAGTTTCGTATTTTACGCTGTTTATTAAGGTTTATTTTTAATTGCGTAAGCAAGACAGGAAGTTTCTGCTCGCATACTGTAATATTTTTAACAATAATCTCTTAATGTGTTCCTGACTCGTGAACAGACAAGATTCAAAAATAGGCCTTGTGGCGGCGATGTTTTCGCGCCACCGGACCATGAGCCAAACGAATCGAACGACAGCCAAACCTAAACCAAATTTCCGTGGAACTACGGTTTAAATATTATTATAATAAGTTCCGCATTAAAATGCACTGCCCGGGCTGATCTCCCCTTTTCCACCGGACTCCAAACCCCTGACAGGATAAGACGATATACTATAGCTTTTATGGGCAAGCGGATTGGCGGTCATAAATTCACAATGTGTTAGTTGGTCGTTGATGATTTTAGGTTCTAGAAAACAAATTATTAATTTTGCAATTCCCTACGAAATAATGGATCTAAAAAAATAATACAATTTTTTGTGTCTTGGATTCTCTCATTTCATCTGGGTTGGTACCAAGCTCTTACCTGTTTCTGTATAAAAGTGCACGCACTGATTTGTTTTTTTTTTTTTTGAAGGATAAAAAGACGGCCAGTATAATTTGGTAGATACAACCGTCATTATTAACTAATTACATCATACGATTTCAATTTGCTAGTTTTATTAGTATTCTAATACTTGGTTGGTATAATATTTAGTTACTAAAACACAAAAAACATATAACAATAACATATTTGACTATAAAAACTATGCAACTCACACTTGCGTGGTCATTACTACCCTTGAAACTATTGACGACTATGTGCACCTGGAACAAAATGTCCTATTAAGAAAGTCTAACTTCAAGAGGTTAAACGACAAATCCAATTCAGCTGGGCTGTGTTCGGAAAACTGCGACAACTCTTCTTGTATGATATTCTTCAAAAATCTCAAAACTAAAGTTTACTACCAGTACGTACCGTTGATTACTTACGGAACTGAATCGCGGTCTTTTTCTGCTGGCCGTATGAGGAAGCTCAAAGTCGATCATTGTGCGATGGAAAGAGGTAGGCTTATTAAAAAAAAAAAAAAAAAAAAAAAAAGGGAAGAACCGACTACAAATGGAGAAGAAAGTTTTTGGAAGGAGCCTAGCCGTTCAGTAAGCTGAATTAGCAACAGACCAGCCATATAGCTTGTAGAACCGACAACCGATGGGAAAGTATCTCGAATAAACTCAATGGACTAGTAAAATGAAATAGTAATGGGCCGGCCATATGGCTCGAAGGACCAACAATCGATGGGGAAAAAAGTTTCTCGAATGGCAGCCTCGTACCGTCAAACGCAGTACTGGGCCACCCCCTACTACATGTGACTTACTAAAATATGCACGAAATTGATAGATCCAGGTAGCTCAGGACCGCACTTTGTTATAATTTATAGGGAGGCCTGTGTTCAGACATGGATTTTGTCACGTAGTGTGATAGAATAGTGATTAAAACTATGACACATATATTTATTCCAATGCAAATTCGTCAGAAGTGTTTTAACAACCCATAAACAGTATTTCAGTTGACTAGTGTTAATTACCAACAACTTTGTTGCTCTCTAAGTTGCCATGTCCGAAGTGAAGGATCGTTGTTCTGAACACGACCTTAGTTCGTTACTCTATTAAGTAGAACTAGAAATAGTGGCTTGACTTTTATAGTAAAACTTTTGCAGCCTTGGGGCATAGTACAGCCAGCAAGGAACTTGACAGGCTGTAACTGTACTTGACGATGATACCTATCAAAAGTCCACTGCGGAACATAATCCTCGATGCTTCATTTTTGAAGTGCTAGTACCGTATCTACCTTTTTATTAAAATAAATATCATTGCCCGTAGATTGCTTCATAGCGGGATTTTCCCATAGTTGTCAAGATTGGCAACCGTAGTTCTTATTACTATTTATCTAAACGTTATTTCATTTTAACTATTAAGATATAATCTTTTCGCGCGCTTATGGTTAACACATGCCTATTTTTAACCGCTCAAAAATTAAATTTCTTGATCCTGTAACTATTTATTTGAAGCGTAATATTTCGCATGCAGTTCTGTTTTGTTTAGTTTACATACGGCGAGAATACCGGCTGAAATCATAATTTATGTTCGGGGAACGTGAGTCGCAATTCATGCGCTTGACTATGACAGGAGCGGGTATTTTGGGAAATCTCCATGGGAATGGTCCTAGGCATATGCGTAAGGCTATTATTTAAGCAGTGATACCTTCGGGGAATGCAAGATAGAGGGCGGTTGGGTGCAAACACTCTTTGTCATTCCCTACTTAGCCTAATGACTAAACGTTATTTTTTAAATATGTTGCCAGTAGGTTGCCAGTAGATTATAGTGGGTCACGTATATGTATCGTTAATATATCTATAAAAAATCTATAACATTTCTCCCAATTCAATAAAAATTTCAAAAAAGAATTAGATTAAATAAATTTTTCTGTATATTATAATTAATTTATAATAATTTATAATTTTTTTATACGTGGTAGAGCTATGCTGCAGGTATATTAGTAGTATAGCTGTAGCACGAATGGGTCGGCTCGACCGGGGAAGGACCACGCTCTCACAGAATACCAGCGTCAAATAGTAGCTTAATGCTGCTGTATTTCGTATGGTGAGTGTAGAGAACCGGAGACCATTTTTACTGGAAACGAGGCATTTCATCATAGATACTCCTTATACTAGAGACATCTCTTAGTCCTCACGGGTGACAACGCACCTGCATTTTCATTCGTAATCGAGGATAGATGTAGATGTCTATGGGCCAGAGCAACCACTTACCATCAGGTGGACTGTGTGCTCGTTTGTCATCCAATGCTATAAAAAATTTGGAAAACACTACTTAAAGACAAAAAGTAATTTTCATATTTATTTAAAATCTTCAAAACTTTTTTTTTCCTCTTACGTTTCCATGTTTATTTTACCGGGGACTGCGTTTATTTTGAGAATCATTCACTGGCGTTTGCGTAGGGGTTTGACGTCAATGCCAGACAAAGATCATTACGCTTCTCCACCAACATTTCGAGTAATAAATTAGTATTAAATTCAGCTGCACGTAACCATATGTGATTTTGATGTGGACACTCTATTGCTTTTGTCCCATTGCATAAGTGATATTCGGAAATGTGACAAACGTGCCAATCATATTTTGAATCATAAATTAATATGATTTGAGTTCTTTGATGCCCGCTGATAATCATCTAGAGTTCAGAAATGCGTGTTCGCTATTTGTCTTGTTTACTTTATGCAATTTTTTTTTATAGAATATTGAACGCAATTTTAAGTGCCGTTTTCAAGTAGCAGCTCAACACTACTATTTCAATTTTAGCACTATTTACCCGCTATGTACGTAACCCGTTTTATTGGTAACGAGGCATTCTATCATAGTCTTCAGGAGTGACAACGAGGATCGAGGATAGATGTTGGTGTGTATTGGCCACATGATCCACTTACCATCATTAAAAAAAACTATTACAAATATCTGACACCTGTTGAGGTATTGTTTTTATTAAACGTCAAAACACGTTTTCCTTACACTAATAAAGAGAGGAGGCAATTTTAGTAACAGTAACACACCATTTTACATACAAATTCCAAAAAATATCTTGTATTTATCAACAAATTTAGTATACGGTTGGCATTTTAGCCGGAACTCGCGAGACTTTATAGCTTTTTTTTTTCAAAATTTATTTAATAAAAATCAAACGACAAATGAACGTACAGCCCACCTGATGGTGCATATTGGTGGCAATTGCAGCTCTCAGATATCTGGAACCAACTTTATATAAAAACTACAGATTCATTTTCATTTAAGATTAGAATCAAGTTCACAATCTGTAATAATACTGGCTCTCTAAACACTTCAGCCTGGACAGAGCAATCTAATAGTATGACTTATTGCATATACCGTCCTTCAAACCACAATTTCGTCCCGCTTTTGCTTATGTTTTGTGCTACAAAATTTGCGGGCACATTTCCCGTCGCCTGCTTGGAGTTGAAAACATCGAAACAGTCGCTTGCCGTGTTTTCTACACGAAACTGTTTGCATACACAGTTTTTTGTGTTTTGTTTTTTCACATGTTGAGTATATGATATTAAAAATAAGAATAACGCAACAGCTGTGTTTATATCATACACTGTGGATTTAAATAGTTTTAGTAACAGATATTTTAAGAGTGAAAAAATGGACGTAAATAAATTCATGTTCAGTTATATGTTTGTGCCACGCTTACTGGAATTGAGTCAAAGATCTCTTAAAGATGGTACTTTTTTATTGGCTTTTTATAATTTTATCAAGCTTTCCCCGTTTTTCATTGGCTTGTTATAATTTGGTGTCAATTTAACCTACCTTTAGAAATATTTGATTGATAAATGAAGTTGCCGGTCATGTAATGAAAAATAGCCACAACATCCGTGGATGCCTTCATCCTGCTGCCAATTTTAAACAAAGAAGACGCCATGTTACCCCGAGGATCAAGATGGAATACCACATAGCCTTATTTCACTTCATGACAAATTTTGCACTGCCGCAAAAGACAGTAACAGGTAATAGAGTGTTACCTACCTAGACAGTACCAGACACCTAAACAGAAAAGACCTGGCCACCTAAAATCTGTGAAAATAGTTTTATTCAATGTGTAGTGTTCGCGTTAATGTAAGAAATTATTAAACTAGACTATTGTTTAAGAACGATTACAATGTATAGGTACTATAGATACCACCAAAGCCAATTATCTTCTCACCAAGCTTACATTATGTAATACGGTATGATGGCTTATTCAGAGGCATTCCATCTTAGCTCTCAACATTGCCATCTGTATTTTGATTCGTAATCGAAATTAAGGTATCTATGAGTCACAGCATCCATTTACTGGAATGTATGCTCGTACTTAGGTCACCCCTATTTTATAATAAAAGGTGATATTGCCGTTGACGTTCAACGCCGTCACAGTCGTAGCTATCTAATATTTGTAATATATAAGAATATGTTGCGCTATAATATAATACAATCCCAGGAGCGGTTTAAGCTATATTTTTCCGCAAAACATAGAGATTTTTATTTTGTGAAATAGAAATATTTATAAAATAAATGGTAGTTGTTGATTACAATAAAAATCTATGTGACGCTACATTAATAGAACACATCCTGTCGAAGCCGGGAACGACACGCTTCGTCCAGTCTACAATCTGTAAGTCTACATAATTTTTCTGTCCACATGTATGTGACTGAACTGCTATTTTCTGTTTTGATGAAGTTTTGTGTGATTAAGTTGATTCGAGAATGGTTTAGATTCACAATTGGATCCGGTGGGTGGAGCTGTTGTCGAGATCCTTTTTTATTGTCAAGATCTTTTTTTAGGAATTTTGAAATTTGTGTGTGACGTGTGAAAATTTCGAAATTCCGGTGTGTTCTTAATTCTTCTCGTCCTTAACGGCTTGACTGATTTTAATGAAACTGAATGGTTATTAGGTATTGTTGGACCCGGTAGGGGGCGCTGTGGTCGAAGTCACTAATCGACCGTGCGCAGCCGAGGCAGATCGCTAGGTTTATTTAAATATAAATTCCTCAAAGTTAGGTAAAACCATATTAATGCAGTTCTTAATCAATAATGATAAATATTACGAAAATACAAGAACCATATTATCTATATAGTTTTGTACATTATCTATATAGTACTTATAAGAAATTTAAAATCTAAGAAGTATCGTAAAAATCTTATTTAACTTAACGTAAATTTCTTATTTATAAATATGTGAGCCAAAAGTTCTTCTAAATAAATAATGCTTTAGCGCCATCTATCGACCGCAAGAACCAACCCACAGAACCAGTACATAGCATATCTAGAAAACCTAGCAAATATAGAAGAAGGATAGTCCACCTTTTAAATTATATAAAAATATTAACAAAAATTTTAAGTACAATAATTGATACGCTAGAAAAATATATACAAAAGTATGTTTCCGCCCGGGATCGAACCGGGGACCTTGTGCGTGTGAAGCACACGTGATAACCGCTACACTACGGAAACTTGATTAACTTAGGTGAAATATTAGTATTGTTTTAACTATCATGATATCACTCACCCAATTTCATTTTATGATGATATATATATTCGGCTGACTTGAAAACATTTTACTACATATAAAATATTTTGTACACGCACACTTAGCGTTACGCCTAATTACCACCAGGATAAGCAGAGTCCAAAAAGTAGGCTAGCTATTCGGACCACAGCTATTTAAAAAAATAAATTTAAATGGAAATTTTCTGAAAGAAGTAATGGGTGCCTGTTGCCTACATAATGACAAACCCAATATTCCATTAAGCGCATTTTACGACATGCTAGGCAAGTAACATAGTTGGTTATTATTCTTTTTTGTAATAAGACCCACGTAAACATGGGACCTATAAGTCCTAGACCTACACATAATAATATTTCAGTGTTGTAATTTTGTGATTTAATAAATATTTCTTTTATTATTATTTTATTAATAAATGAGCTAGAAGTGAACCTGATGATACGTTCCTTCTGGGGTCCATTCCGCATCTAACTTTAAGACAGTTGTGTTATCAGTTATCACCCATAAGTACAAAGGCGAAATGCCGCTTAGTCTTTGCTCTCTTCCCCTTTTTAAACTGGTACCCACACGACTGAAATAGCAATAAGTACTGGGCTAGCAGTTCAGTTTATGTCTGCGACTTTATTTACATAATGTGTGATAAGTTTACATAAACGATGACAACTAGCTTCGGTATATTGACCGCAGTTATGAAATATACGTAAACACTCATTGATTCAAATTGACCCGGATCTTATGCACATTGCATAATACCGTGCAATGTTATGAAATTCAGACCAACGAAAAAAGACAGACTGGAAAACTACGTGAATTTTAAGTGACATGGAAACCATACTTAAGTTATTGTAAGAACACACACTCATACATATGCATACACATTCACATTCATACATAACATACATATACACACATACGCAGCTAGAAATGTTTGCAAACAAGAAGAGTGTAAAAATATCCACTGCCCCGTGGGTGTCGTAAGAGGCGACAGGGAAACTGAAACGAGGTGGGCAGCGTCTTCCTGATAACTACTCAAAATTATAAAAACTGCAGTTGCCAACATGTGTGCCAAGCGTGGCAACTACAGCATGATCCCCGAATGATTCTAAGGGGGAGTAGTGGATGGTTTGGATGCATATCATAAGCCGTAGTTAAAGGATGTCGGTGCGACCACTCGTTCGTCATTGTTTTGTAATTCAATTACGACTACCCTTTGCAAAATCTAATGCCAACTGACTGAACTCACGTGTAAGTGTGTTTGACAGTTCTTACTGCATGGTTTCCTGGTATACAATACTTAAAATTTCGTCCTTAAAGCCTTATTTCTATATCTGAGAATTCATATAAGACGTATTTTCAATATTACCAATTTTTCCAATCTTCTCAGAGCCACCCTTAGTATTCGAACCGATCACTGTGGAGTCACTCCGACAAGAGAAGGGCTTCCTCAAAACTGGTCGCAAACAGCAGAAGGAGTTGGAGACGATGCGCAAACGGCATGCTAAGGAGAAGATGACGTTGCAGAAGCAGCAATGTGCAGCTTTGGAGAAGATGATTAAAGGGAAGAAGTAAGTCTATTTTATTATATATTAAATAATTTATTTATAAGGGCTTACCAAAGGAGTAGATACAAAAAATAACCGTACCTGGAGTCAATATAATGAGAAATAAAAAAAAACAAAGATTAAATTACTTACTATTCGTACTTTTATTAAATAATACGCTTGTGTATTTGGACACGCTTAAAATAAGGTTTGATTGGTTAGACAAATTATTGCACAATATACTTTAAAAGTATTTCGGAAACTGAATTTAATTTTCAACGCTGAACGCACATTTTTCAGTACCGTACGCGCCGTACACGTCGTACGTAAACCTCGCACATTACAGCCGCACCGTACCTACACGCCGCATTTTATAAAATGCGGTACCTATTGAAGGACGCATGCTGATGACGTCATATAATGCGGCGCGTTCGGTGCGAGTCGCGACTCACTACTCAGTGTTGTCTAATATTGCCAAAATATATTTTTACTTCATTTTAGTAGCATTTTCCTTTACTGTGTAGGCAACATGAGCCGTTACACAAGACTTTTATAATTTTTAATTAATAAGTAATTAATTATACATAATTTAAGGGGTCTCTTGACCTATCTGAAGCCCTATATAAGGCCGGCATAGACCGCGACCCGGGTAGGTCGGTATTGCCAATTCAAGCGAATATTTCGAAGCGATACAACTGCGAACTAAAGTGATCGTTAGTAAGATTGTGTTGTGTTATTAGTGTGGTTTTAAGTTGTTATTAGTGTTCTCTAATTAAAGTGTCAATTTTAGTAATTCGCTCGGCAGTTTTTATTTGTCTCCAACCCCAAGCTCATAACAATTGGTGTCAGAAGTGGATTTTATAATGCCGATTTTACCTAAAAACGACACTGAGGGTATCCGTACCCGAACGCCAGTAGGAGACGGACCAGAGACGATTTTGTGGTGCACCACAGACGTCGTAGGACCAGCTGCCGACCACGGAGCAGCTCCTGCATCAGCAGCACCTGACTTAGGTGCTCTGATGATGATGCTGCAGGAGCAGGCCCGTCGTTTGGAAGAGCAGCGTTCCCATCGCGTCAGGAAAGTTGCAGCAGCTACAGTTCGCAACCGCAATAAAGGATACAGGCCTAGAGGCTGTGGGGAAAGGGATCATCTTCGATCCAGCTGACCTAAGCGAACTGTAGAAAGGGAAGGTGATCGATCTCGAGAGGGTAGTGTGACTAACAGTAACGCCCAGCAGCAACAGGGAAACGAGTAAAAGCCAGAACTGCGGGGCGGGTAGTGGCTGATGTTAAAAGAGCCCCAAGGATTTCGATCTCACAAACCCATGATGGGCCTAATCATCAAGGGCGAGGTCAACGGACCGCCTTGTAAACTGACCATAGACACTGGAACCTCTCGCATTGTTGTCAGTTCCCAACTTATAAGTCAGTTCCTTGGGGACTCCGCATACAACCGAGAACGCATTGATATGGTGACAGCAACCGGTCAGCGCAAATCCGTCCGTGGAGAGAGCGAGATGGAGTTGAAGCTAGGTAACATGATCTACCTGCACAATGTCATCGTGGCTGATATAATGGACGACTGTAATCTGGGCCTAGATTTTATGAGGAAGAATTGTTGTGAGATCGACGTTAAGCAAGGTTTTGTGAAATGTGGACAAAAGGAACAAACTTTAAAAGAGAATTACAGCTGCCTGCAGACCGATTATGCAAATGACTTGCGGAACAAAATAAATGAGATGTATGAGTACGTCAGACAACAAGGCCAGCAAATGAAAAGATGAAAACCAGGTATGACCGCAAAATGAACAACAAAGGTTCGACGAAGGTTCACTAGTGTGGGTGCACAATCCAGTTCGCAGCAAAGGGAAATCTCCTAAGCTTCAAGCTAAAAGGGGCTGACCAAACCGGATTGTGACAAGGCTCAATGACGTTACCTACCGGATACAGAAAGGTGCAACAGGCACCACTAAGATCATCCATGTGGATCGACTTGCGCGTTATTATAGGGCCGATAACGCTCGGTACGAGCATGTCTTAAGAGTAAGTGTATTATATGTGTAGTATGTGTGTGGCGACACTAGTTACCACTAGCGCCTTCTAGTATCTAGTAGCGGAACTAGGAGAGTTAAGATCCTTCTAGAAATTTCCATTGAACTTTCTAGAACTATGGATACCTCGTCAGTTGGAACCGGTATGTAATCGAACATTATAGGTGTTTCAACAGTTAGAAGGTTATGGAACTATCTGAGGCCCTATATAAGGCCGGTAAACTCGCGACCCGGGTCAGTATTGAATTGGCGATTCAAGCGAATACTTCAAAGCGATACAACTGCGTACTAAAGTGATCAGTAGTACCATATGTTTTGTGTTATTAGTGTGGTTTTAAGTTGTAATAATGTTCTGTAATTAAAGTGTCAATTTTGGTAATTCACTCGGCAGTTTTTAATTGTCTCGAACCCCAAGCTTGTAACAATATTGTTGCGTGCCATAATTAATGACTGGTACATGGCTCTAGCGCCATCTAGTAGCAGAACTAAGCTATCTAGAAAATTCCTTGCTAGAAGAGAAAATTGCTTGCTTTCCACTATATATACTGGATGACCTTTTTTACCATCTGGAAAAAAATTGGGTGTAACATGTGAACGGAGTAGAAACCTATGGCACTGATATTTTACAAAAAATAAAAACAAATCTTTTGAATTAAGCAAAGACGCAACCTGTTATTATTACTAGTTACTAGAGTAAAGTTTATCTTGTAGTGGCGGTTTAAGCCATATCCAAACACATTTCATGCCATGGTAAAAGGCGACTGAGTACAATAAGTCAGATGAGTAGCAGCGTCTTCCTAATAGAGAATAAAATAAAAAACTGCAGTTGCCAAATGTTGCCAGTTGCAGTTGGTAAATTTCACTCTATGAGACAAAATATGGGGACGGCTGACGTAGTAGTGGACATTAGTAGGCTGTAACGATAACTACTAACTGTTTGGTAGTACACAAAAAAAAAAACAATTATTTTCGAGGAGTTTTGCTACAAGAGTTTTATTTACAAGCGGCGCCCGCGCATGCTCGTTCTCCAACTATGATACAGTTCTTGTTGTGAGTTGCTGGTCTAGTGGTCGATAAGACCTGATGTTCCATGTTAAATCTGCACAGCAAGGAGCAGCTGAGCAATGATGCGGCTTTCCGCAAGCTGGTGGGAGAGCAGTCGACTGCGTGGAGCGAGCTGGCGGCGCGACACCGCCGCGAGGAGACAGCCGGGGCTCGCGCGCGCCTCGACGAGCAGCGCGACCTGCTCAAAAAAATGATGGAGCAGACGCAGCTGGCGCAGATGAAACAGCTCGAGGCCAAGCAGGACAGGTACTGCACATACACACACACACGCACACGCGCTCACATGCGCGCCACACACACACACACACGAGCGCGCGGGCGCAGGTGAAGCAGCTAGAGGCCAAGCAGGACAGGTACCGCACCCACACACGAACGCATGCACGCGCAGACGCACTTGTACACATACGCACTCGTACATACTCGCACACGCACTCGCACGCTCTTAAGCACTTGAAAACGAACACATTCGCACGCACACACGCCCTCGGACATGGATACGCTCTCGCACACGCATTCGCCCGCATACGCGCACGCACAAACGCACTCACACGAAAACGCTCTAACACACTCATTTGTAGGCGCACAAGCACTTGCACACAAACACGGTCCTGCACCCGCACTTGCACGTGCACACGTACTCGCACACACACTCACACGCACTCGCACATGAACACACGCGCACGCGCACACGCACTCGCGTACACACGCACGCACAAGCACTCGCACAAACACACGTATTCGCACATACGCACACGCACTCACGAAAACACACACGTTACAGTGCAAGCTAAGAACTTCACGTCTTGAAATATTTTTTCCCACGTGCAAGTTCCCTAACTATATTTTCCTTTACCTTCGAACTCCGAACACGTAATAAACCCGCATTACACACACATGACTGGCTGGTTAGGCTAATCGTCGTAAAGGCGAGTGCTGATCATGAGATACCATGGGAGAAAAAAATATCAGTAATTGAGTTTTTCTGGCAATATATTCTCAGTAATAGTACGTAATACTATTATTTATTCTGTGGTAATAGCAACCTTCCCAGAGTCAGGAGTTCCTTCCTATTTCCTGAAATAGGAAGGAACTCTGTAGTTAACTTCAAAACATTTTTCTTGCTAAATTGGACCTTAAATGTTTTCACAACTATAATTTCAACGGTAACACGATTTTTGGTTTAACGCTAACATGTTACCGTATTCGACCATCGGCACACAAAGGCAAGATTCTGAAAATTACTAAAAATTATACCTTATATTCCCTAGGGAGTTAAAGGAGATGAACGCTCGCCAGGCGAAGATCAGCATGGAAACCAGCAAGGAAGTCGCCAATGATAAGACTTTGAAGACTAAACAAGAGAAAGACCGAAGACTGCGCGAGAAAAAGCAGAACAACACTAAGAAATTCATGGACGAAAGGAAGGTGAGCTCATACTTCATGATGTATTGTTCTGCACTCTTCACAGGTCTAGGTAACAACCTTTATATATGGGGTATATTTTAGTGGCGGTGTAAGTATATCCACTAGCCCATATCAACCCGTGGGTGTCGTGAGACGCGGCAGAGGGAGACTGAACCAAGAGATGGGCAGCAGCATCTCCTTGATAAGAGCTAAATAAAAATAAAAACTGTGATTGCCTACCCGCTTGCTAAGCGTGGCAACTATGGCAAATATCCCTCCTATGAAAAAAAAACTATGGGGAAGGCGGCCATGTTCAGGACCAGGAATTATGGTAGGCAGTAATGATAATATGTGGTACATTTATTAACGTCACCTTATTAAAAAATTGTTTGTTATCAACTTATATGAATTCAATCTTAGTTCTTGAGGATGACAACGGGATATAGATATAGGTGTCCATAGGCACACAGTGTCTACTTACTATTAAGTGGATTGTGTACTCATCATCATCATTACAGTCCTTCACAAGTCCACTGATGAACATAGACCTCCCAAGAAATGTCACAAAGCACAGTACTTAAGCAACCTGCATCCATCGACTTCCTGCATGTCGTACCCTGAGTTTGCACTGACGCGATTTTCACAAAAAAACATGTTTTAAACACTGTTTTCTGTCAATGTATCAAAAAGCGTTTGCATAGTCAAAGAACATGTTATAGTGAAATATGTTTGACAGTTTATTGTACATTACATATTTTAACTATATTATATCTTTATAACTACAGAAACAAAATGTTTGAAAACAAATTTGTAGAAATATTGTCATGTTGAAAGATAAGTTTGAATATCTCTTGAAAATTTTACACAGTTTTTGTGAATGCGAACGCCACCATCAACAAAACATGTTGTGTGATTTATTTTATGCGATTTGTTTCAAAACATTACGTGTTGGATGTTTCTCAGTGCAAACGTACTGTTACCAGGTCGTCACTCCATCTAGTGGGGGGTCGCCCTACACTACTCCTACCGGTACGAAGCTACCACTCGAGAACCTTGTTTCCCCATCAATTGTCGGTTCTTCGAGCTATATGGCCGGCCCATTGCCACTTCAGCTTACTACTGTGTTTCTGTGATTCTACGACTGCGTGCTCGTTTACCCTCATTCTATTTTTAACAAATCGAATATGTGCTATAAAAATACAGATGTACAATTTAATAACTTTTTCAGGTATTCATTATGCAAAAATGCGTAATATGTTTGGTTTGGTTCGATGTTATTTTTGGTTCTCGATGTGTGGGCCGTATCAAATCAACTTTATATTGGTTATTAAACATTTTTATTCAGTCATATAATGGCGGTGAAAGACAATACATTACCTCATATCATCCTGTAAGTGTCGTAAGAAACCAAAAGGGGAAGTGTAACAGGAGACCACTCAATAATAATAAATTAAACGGTTGGAAACAGTTAATAAAGCAGCCGAATAGCGCCTTTCCTTTTGACTTTAAAGTTGACGTATCCTTTATTTTATTTTTTAACTGGTGTAAATGAAACAATACTAAATGTTAGCCCACACTTGTCCCAATATACCAAAACCACATCCTAATTGGTCGAACCATTGTGGAGATTAGCGTGCACAAACAAAGCGACAAAAAATATGTTTTTCTATCCTTTTTCTTATTAATAACAAATGATATTTCTCTTTCAGACTCAGATTATCAAGCACACCCGTGAAAAGGAAAAGCTGAAGGGAACCCATGACAAACAGCTCGAAGAGTTGTCCAAGGATATCGATAATGTTAGTATTTTACTTACGGTATCTCATTTGTAGAGCCACGCTGCAGCTATATCATGGTTGTAGTACGAATAGGTTGCCTTGACGGGGGAAGGACCACGCTCTCACAGAATGCCAGCGTAATATAGTAGCTTAATGCTGCTGTGTTTCGTACAGTAAGTATAGAGATATTTTGTCCTCGGGGGTGACAGCACGTTTAGATTTAGGTTCTTATTCGATGTCAGTCTTAATTTTCAATGGACCATCGTATCCGCTTCAAGGAGTAAATAATAAATATAATCATTACCTTTAATCCGCTTATTGTATTTTATGCTCGTACGTTACTTACTACTTACGTACCTTACTTCAATAAAAAGATACACCTATGTAACCATAGAACAATATAACTACATACATAATAGAACGGGGGAGTGGGCGGAGTCCGTGTAGCCACTGAAATGTCACTAACACGTCAATTCACACGTATAAATGTCAACACGAGATGTGTTTTGACGTTACAATCGTTTCCAATTATTTAAAAATGCCAAATTACACGCTATTTACAAATAAATATGTATTAAAATCTGTCTGTCAACACGCTGTGTTTAGATTTTCATTCGGGATTGTAGTAGTGATAATACGACGTAATTGCTTGTATGTGTGCTTCCGGCGACGCCTATCTTCGTACAAAATAGGGTTGACAGCCATTCTATTGTGTAGTATAGTATTCTACGAGTATGTACGTAACTGTATTATCTAACTCGTTAAGAAAGTATATTAATTTGAATTTCCGTAATCCCATAAATTTTCCATAATTAGTCCTTTCAGATATTAGTCAAAATAAGTATTTCTCATAATCTTATCACAAATACATTTTTTTAAATATCGACTTTTGAATAATTGTTTTAAAAATAATGAGAAGTCCTTAGGTATTATTTCCTTACTTTTAAATGTAGTTAAATAGGTTTTTAGTAGTTCTAAATTATACTTAATAACTTCCAGCTGATTGAAATGTACAAGATGGAGGAATCGGAGTTCGACATGGCGAGTAAAACAGAATTCTTCGCATGAAAGTATCCGGATATAGCTCCATTGCTAGAGCAAATGACTTGAGTGCAGTGATTCAGTGATCTCCGTATTAACTTCCTTATTATTTATATTAACTTTAATTTTTAATCATATGGCCTGTATTAAAACTAAAAGTTACGATATAATATTTGACTAAAAGTTTAGATTTTTTTAACTAAAATGACACAAGAATTACATCGATGTAACCCATTTAAGTATATTTGAAGCTTAATCAGTTTTAATGCGGGCCAGTTGGGAAAATAACGAATCAAAAGAAATATTACAATTTCATTTGATTCGTTATTTTCCCATTATTTATTTGGTAAAGTATATAGACGTAGCTAGAAAAAAATAGACCCTCTAAAAATATATTGCCTCTCCTAATTTCTGCCCAAAACTTGGGTGTCTTTGACTTCCAAAAAATCCAAACGATATCCATAGTGATTTCTATAAGATAGAGTCTGTACCCTCTTCGCCTTGAAATTGTTGCTCCCAAAAATAGCTAATACCTTTTCAAAATAAGGTTCTTCTGATGTTTTTCTTTATATACGTACTTCACGTTGTGTGAAGTATTTAATTCCTGCTAAACGTATAAAATTATTACGTCATTTTTAATTAAAATGACTATAAAAATGCTATAAGAAATAAGTTATAATTTTATATTCCATAACCTGTGCCAAATACTGCAATCTACTGGAAAACATTTATATTATAAGTATTATAAAAACTAAAGTATCGGCCTACACCTATATGTCTTCCTGCTGGGTATACAGGACCCCCCGTTGCTCAGGAGAAAGATTTCCTTACAATGTCTTACTTTACCGACGAGCATAAATCAACAATTAAAACTGCAATTAATAAATTCTTTAATGCCGCCGGATATCAACCTACGTCCCTTCATTTTTGCATTTATTACAAATAGAAGCTCCTTGCTGAGCGGGACAGGACGCCTACATTAACTCATAAACGTTTGCTAAAGTTGTCTCATTTAGCAGACGCGTTGGTAACCACAGTTTTTGAAATGAACACTTCTTTAAATCGTGATTTGATCTGAACTCGAAGAAACGAAACAGCGATACTAAAAAAAACATTTACATCTACAGAAGCCTGCAAGAAAATGAGATAGAATACTGTATACAGTGTTTCCTATAATCTCTATCTCCTTTTCTGATCGTTTCCCTTTTCAGCTGCATATATTATTAGGAAGACACTATTGTCCATCTCCGATTTGTTTCCGCCTAACGCCACTTACGACAGCCACGGACGACATGGGCTAGTGGATGTTCTTACACGCGACGCACACGGTCAGTTAAACTATCCGTTGAACTGACCGTGAGTGTGAGAAGCTAAGTGAGTGGGGAAATCGTTTTGGCTTACATCCGTTTCAACTGACCAGTTTAACTGACCGTGTGTGTGTCGGCCATTACACCGTTACTACAAGGCTGCTCGTATACTATGAAATCCCAAGATAAACTATCCCCTAAACCACAGTGATAGATATCTGCAATATAAAGTTACAGCATTTATACATCCCACTGCTGGACTGTGCCCACTGTGCTGAATCCACTCATTTCTGAGAGGGACTGAATGCAAGGAAGTGTCCACCGCGCTGCCTTATTGCATATTGGGGGGACTACACACGGCTGTAATATTTTTTTTTATTTCTCAGACATACAGTTTTATCACGATGTTTTCTTTTACCACCGAGCACGTGGTAAATCAACAGATAGTTATTGCATTTAACAATTACTTTGGTACTGGCGGAGTCAAACCCTGGTTGCTCGCATTTTACGAGGAACACCGAGCCCCTGAGCTATCACGGCTCTTACATTAATACTATAATATCAGCTTATAATTTGTTTTAATATTTTTCCTTAATTATGTCAACACACATACGCCATTTCAATATAGAATAAGTAATTTATTTTTAGAGCATCACTACTCTAAGCAACTACACTTACCAAGTATTTATTAAGTGTAAATTTGCCAATACAAGTAGTGTAACTTTCCGTATAATGCACGTAAGAAAAAATAAATAGTAACTGAATTAAAAGTTAACTATGCACAGCCCCTTATATTAAGTAATAATATAAGGTCTACACTGTCAAAAAAGTTTTGAATGATTCGTTTTGTTGCTAAATAATTTATTTCAATTCGGCTCCATTTTACATCGGTGTAGCTAAAAAAGAGGGCCACAACAGCATGCCACCCACCCCCTCCCCCACCCATCACAAAATCCACCCTCTACCCTAGGAAATTCGTGCTAATATTCCTAAGAAATCGAATGGAGATTGTTTCACTTCGATGGATTATTTTATTCCATTAAAAACTACCCTTTTTAAGTTTTTCTTTTGTATTTTATGTGCATTAAGTTGCATCCAGCCTCCTCAGAAACCTCAATTTTAAAATATTACAGAAGAGCAAGATGTATTCTTGCTCTTCTGTAATTTAGAGCAAGAATACATTTATTTTCCCCATAGCATTTCGTATTTGTAGTTTTTCCATTAAGGGGATATAGTGATTCAGCTCAAATTCTAATTTCGTCCCCACTTCCCCGCGCGTCGTATGCTATGTACCGATATGTTTGTAATCACTAATACTGTAAGTAGATAGGTCGTTAGATACTTATTTCATTAGGTTTATCATATTTATGCCTGTTTCTTAACGCCAACTCAGTCGCTTCTTACTTTTATTACGGTAATTTCCCATTTTAATTTTACGTCGTCCTGTTGCGTAATGTGTATTCCGATCGTAAGCGACACAACCTCCGCCTTCAAAGGCCGAAGCGAAACTGACCGGGCGGCAGGAATCAAGCTTCAAGAAGCCGATAGTTTAGGTAATTTCTTTTTACAGTGAAAATAATGGTATTTTAAAAAAAAGTAAATAACATAAGCACTGCTTTATAGTTAGTTCAGTTAGTATGCAAAGTTTCATGATCTTATTTAAAATATTTTACGAATAACAGCGGTTTATTGTTTTTTTGGAGGTAACTTTGGATTTTTTATCGAGAAAATTTTACGGAATCGTGTTTTCGTCTAACATAGTCCTTAACATTAATCCTCAACTTTACCATATATTTATTTCAAAATTAATGCTGCAATATTTTCGGAATAACGGAGTATCTTGCTAAGCCATTTGAGGTTATATTTTCCCTTACATCTAATATTTCTAATTTTATGATGAAAAAAAGCTGGTAATCAGGGAATAATAAAAATTTTCTTGCTGCCCTGTAATTTTTAAACATTATTTGTAGGTCACACAAACACTTGTTCCGTGCGGGATATTTCTATGCATCTTCTATATGGTTTATGGCTCGAAAAATTGGCTTAGGTCCGGGAAAATGTTTGTAGTTGGATTATTGGACGCTTGTATTGCCAGCTTTTAGTTATGGAACATGTTTAATAACGTATACAGAGAAACCTATAGACAAATTGACGCCTTCTTTCACATTCGCACACGAAAAAGATTTATGCATACGTCTTGCATAGAAATGAGACAGGGCAGTGTGATTGTTTGTCCCTTTCTCCGTGCCGGTTTTTTTTAGCAAACTACACTTTGCTAAACAACTTTGACAGTTCAGTGACAAGTTCGCTTAAGTGAGAAAAAAGTGTTTTGTGAGCTTAATATTGGTGAATCTTGTTCAGTTCAGTTCTTAGAACAATTCAAAATTTTATCTAAATATGTTTAAAAGTCATAAAGCTTATTGTATAACCTAAAACTACGTTATCGTCCTTTCTCACTCGAGGCCACGCTAATCATTAGTATATAGGTTTCTCTGTCTACGTTTAATAATCTCACTTATAATAACGATTGATTATTGACATATTTAATAACTAAAATATTAGTCATATTATATCATATCACAAAAATATTCTGCTGTAGAATTTAAATGTATTTAATTTTTTCTGTAGTACCAGGTTGTCCAAAAATCAAACACAAGGTAACACTATGGTAAGACATAACAACGGTCTATTTAGATGTATGATGTATGTACAGATTAATAAAGTTTAGGTTTAGTCTGACCTTTTAAGGACAGTCCTTACTGGGAAACGGTATCCAAAGCATTTAAAGGTTTAAGTGCCAATAATTTCGTTAACTTCAAGTACATCTTATAAGTACAATCAAAAAAAATTTAAATCTATTATAACATATTAATGTATCCTAGAAAACATTTTCTCTTGAAAATATCTTCCATAGTTAATTACTTATAAATTATAAAATATTTATGGATGTAAGAATAGATATTCTATACATTATTTAATATTAATATACATTATAAATTTACTATATTACTATATACGATTACTGGGAAGACATGTGAAAAACATGATTTTAGGATCCGGAGTGGTAACACTTATGGTGCAAAGAATTAATTATTTATGCTTGTTTACTGCAAATATCAATCTGAAGAAAAAAGGTCTGTTACTCATATTTATTAACACAATGATAAAGTTAAACTTAAAAGTATATCAGGTTTATTATCAAAATCGACCGTATCTCACTTTTTAATGAATTTTTAAATACCCCAATGCAGATTATTGATAAAAAGTAAAATATCTTAAAATAACCTTGATAAGTAATATTTATTTACTACATCAATTATAACTAACATTACACATTCATTTTACGGGTGAAATGGTATTTTAAATAGATATTACTCAAATTATATATAAATTTAAGTAAGGCAACTAAAGTTTGCATTTTATTATGTTTTAACACCGGTATAATTGTTTTATTATGTAATGGAATTAGAATCAAAATCTTAGGACATAGTCTGTTAGTAATTATCATTTATTTATTTATATCAAATTATAAAAAATCAATTTGTTATATTATATAAAATATAGTTTTGATTTGGTGTGCCAATTTTGTATGCTTTGCTCGGCGTATTTAATATGGTAACATATTACATAGCACTTTTAATTGTTACTATAGTGTATATGATAGATAGTTCTTAACTTGATTTTAAACATTGTTTCTACCAAAGAATACCTTCAATCAAT